GACAGAAGACCTGTGTGTATGTATGTATGTGTGTGTCTTTGCTTCTCTCAGTGTAACTCTGTCTTACAAATAAAATAAGTAAGTCATAAAAGAAAAAACCTTCCAAGTAAAGAAGAATGAAATAAGGAAGTGGATATTCACTTCCATTTTCTCAGAAACGCAGGACTCAAGGTCAACTGAAGAGAAATATGATAGGATAAGTAAATGTGTATTTAAATGAAGTGAAATTTGGTGTTATCAAACAGACAAACCAAAAAACCCTCAAACATATGAACAGAGTCAGAAGAAAAGCTGAAATGTGTATAATTCATGCACATTGAATCCTAAGCTTAGTAGTTAGAATTCCACATACATTTACCCCACATCACAGCACCAAGTGAAATATATCTTATGGTTGTCTACCAATTCCCCAATTTAAGGAATAAGAAAAAATGATGGTAAGAATTAGATCATGGACAGAGTCTGGACCACTGGCTTCAAAACTCTATCTATGAGGGCAATTACAGGATCTGTGGTCTGCCCGTGATGTGCCCATGTCAGGACTGGGTTTCCTCAGTGGTTGAAGCCTGTGCAGTGGACTGCATGCCCCCCAGCGTGGCGGACATGACACTCAGTTCACAGAGGCTTGTGGAGGACATCTAGTACCACGCAGTGCAGAACAAACTGGACAGCTTTCCCAGCAAAGCTTAGACAGCAAGTATCTGGGCAAACTGACTCTAAGGTTGACTGTCAGCCAATGGACCTTAGTAGGATTTCCTCATCCTTGGAGCAACAAAGTCAACAGCATTTCAAAACTAGGAAACCACTTTAGCAGTGTCCTCAGACTATGCTCCACATTGGGGACCTTGGGATATCAGGTGCCTGTCCCCCATCCAAGGGCAGCTGGGCTGCTGGGAGCAGCCCTCTCTCCGTTTTCCCCAGATACATGAACAGAAGGAGACTGAAAACAGTTGTCTTACCAACTTTCCTCCATTCCTCCACCCTCCCCACCCTAATTAGTGGTCCTCATGGGCATGCATTCTTAACCATGCAAACATCACCAAAACTGTATAACTACATTAAAAAAAATTAGGTAATGGAATTCTGAGATATAATCTATGGAGGAATTTCAAAAATGAGGAAAAACACAATTGAAAGATAAGCTTACTTTGGTGCAATAAAATTTTGAAATCCTTGTATTTATTTCATAACACACATTTCCACAAACATTCTAAAGACTGTTCATATACTTGGATTTCAAATATTTTGCAACAAAAAAACATTTTAATTCTATTTTCATGAAATTTTTAACCTTTCTCATGTACGTAGCAACATGCTAGAACCATGGGGGAATGGTAATGATTCTTATCTTTCCCACCATTTTTTGCTGGATCTGCTTTTTTTTTTTCCCTCTGCAGTAAGTTACTTTTATGAAAAGTTCTTGCTGAATCAGGAACACAAGATACCTTTTAGTAAAGGAACAATTCCCACCCTGTTCAAGGACTGACATACATTCTCTTTTTATAAGGTGTATCACACTCTGATTTTCCAAGCTTTTACAAACTTACACTTTTCTACAACAAACAAATGTTTTGTTGGGAAACCCTACTATAACTGCCATAACCCTTTGCAAGTACAGTTTGTGTGATGGTGCTCTGGAGCGAAGAAGGAAAACAGGATCTAAGAAGAACACAGAAAGGACAAAGAAAGACAGAGGCCGAGTGAAGGGGCAGAAAACCTTGAGTTATAAATAACCCAGCTGAAAATGTCAAGGGAAGCTGGTCTCTTAAGCAGCTCCTTCTGTGTGGTTATGAAGCCAGTTAATAATGAAAGTACTTTAGACTATATTTAATTTTCAGATTAAACAAAGCCATTTATGGCAAACAAACATGTAGCATTTGTAATAAAACATGCAGCCACTTTATTGAATGGAAAAAATTTCCATGGAATTAGTTCAGCAATTATAGTGGATTTCATGAACATTATAAAACACATTTTATCAGAACTCTGACAATTAGAAAATAGGCTCTAGAGTAGGAAAGATGATTATAATGTTTCAGTAACTATTAAATACAGAAAGATATCTTTAACAAATGCAAACAGAATGGCATCTTGTTTTACTAACTAAAAACATGATTCTAAAATATGTATTTTGAATTTTAATATCAAAATAAGTGCTCATTTTAGAAAAGCTAGCTGGGAGAACAGGCAGGCATTGAGACGACTGCAGGGCACCTGGGTTTGCCCTGCAGCACCAGTTCTTGGTCCCAGCTGCCTGCCCACGCACCCTAGGAGCCAGCACCGATTGCATACGCACTGGGTTGCTGCCACCCTCAAGGAGGAACTGGATTTGATTCCCAGCTCTGGGTATTGCTGACATTTGAAGAATGAACCAATAGATTGAATCTGTGTCAAATAAATAATGTATTTTATCAAACTGATTTCTTATGTTACACACTTCCCTCTTAGAACATTTCTTGCTTTTCTTTCTAATTGCATTCTGAGAGTTAGCAGTGGTTAACTGCAAACAGTTTAGAGCCTATTTTAGAGCATAAACACACATAGGTTTATTTGAAAACACAAAGAACAGTTATTTTTGTATGTTTGAAAGATTGATTTATCTTTATTGGAAAGAAGAGAAAAGCAGAGAAACAAACATTTTCCCTCTGCTGGCTTATGCCCCAAATGACCAAGCTGATCCAAAGCTTCCTCTGGGTCTCCCATGTGGGTGCAGGGTCTCAAGGCTTTGGGCCATCCTCAACTGCTTTCCCAGAGCTGGATGGGAAGTAGAGCAGCTGGGATACAAATTGACACCCATGGGCCCGGCGCGGTGGTGCAGTGGTTAAGGTCCTCGCCTTGCACGCCTGGGATCCCATATGGGCGCCGGTTCTAATCCTGGTGGCCCCGCTTCCCATCCAGCTCCCTGCTTGTGGCCTGGGAAAGCAGTTGGGGACGACAGCCCAAAGCTTTGGGACCCTGCACCCGCGTAGGAGACCCGGAAGAGGCTCCTGGCTTTGGATTGGCTTAGGATCGGCATAGCATCGGCCCTTGCACTCACTTGGGGAGTGAATCATCGGACGGAAGATCTTCCTCTCTGTCTCTCTTCTCTGTACATCCGCCTTTCCAATAAAAATAAAATAAATCTTTAAAAAAAAATTGACACCCATACGGGATGCTAGCACATGCAAGATGGAGGATCAGCCATTTGAGGTATCACACCAGCCCCAGAACGTTTTTAAAACAGGATGATATGGTAATTTACTTCTTTATATCAGATTCTTGTTTTCTTTATATGTATTTCATTCTTACTTTTTTTTTTAAACTGACAGGCAAAGAGACAGGATCTCCAATGTCGTTCCTTAAGATGGTGCTAGGCTAAAGCCAACACTAGGAACGGAATTCAGGTCTCTTACCTGTGTGACAGGAACCAAAAATCTCAGTGTCTGCATTAGCACTAAGCTGGAGTTAGGAGGTATTTCAATACAGGATACTGTGGCATCTTAACCATCTCAATCACTAGGCCTAATGCCTGCCGCTGCTACTTCCCTCTTTTTAAAGAGCTGCATGGCGTCCCGTAATATTGTTGTACAACAGTTTGTTTAACCATTTCTCTGTATGTAGATGTTGAAGCTATTGTTGCTATGGGTTTTCTTTTTGTCATTTTATCTACTTAATGATTTTCAAGATTCATATGGTTCCTTAAGCAGCAGAGTGACAGAGAAGGAAAGAGAAAGAGAGCTCCTTCATCTGCTGGTTAACTCCCCAAATTACTCAAACCAGTATTCCCATGTGGAATGCCAGGCGTAACAAGTGGGGGCGTAAGCCCCTGTGCCACAACCCCAGCACCCTAGCAGTAAGAAGTTATGGAGCTCTTCTGCACAGCAGGGTGACAAAAGATAAAAATAACATCCTGCATATTGCTCTTCCAAGAAAAGAAATTACAAGAATTTTGAATGGTTTTACCATGAAGAATATCTACAGTTTGTGTCAGTTAAAAATATATACAGCAGGTACTTCTTTAGTAGTGAAGAACCCTATAGAATGCCTGTATTTTGGGGTGGCTGGATTCAGGCACCCACATAGGAGACCTGGAAGCAGGTTCCAGCTCTCGGCTTCAAACCAACCCAGTTCTGGTTGTTGTAGCAATTTGGCAAGTGAACCAGTGGATGGAAGACCCCTCTGCTTCTCCTCTCTCTGTAATTTTGCCTTCTAAATAAAATAAATAGATCTTTAAAAAAAAAACAGATTTCCTGCTCTGCCTTCTGATTTCAACTACCTGCTAACACAGACCCTGGGTGTCTGGGTGCTGGCTTGAGTGGTTCAGCCCTTGCCAGGGGAGGCCCGAATCAATTTCTCACCCTGGTTCCAGCCCTGGCCTGGCTCCAGTTGTTGCAGGCACTGGGGGAGTAAGTTTGTATAAGGGAGCTCTTGCTTTCTGCACTTCTAAATACACTTTTAAAATAAGAACCTTCCACTATAGAATTTCAGAAATCGTGGAAATAGCAGAAATATAGGTCCCAAATTGAAGTGACTATGAGCTAGTAACCAGAAATAATAAGAGATTTTAACTCTACTACCTCCGGCTCTGCTCCCGTCCAGATACACAGCTCCTGTGCCAACAGAGACCCGCAGTCTCCCCAAAGCACATGCTCATTTCTGTTCATGTTTACCTACAGGATATACTGACTCTGTTTCTAGGTCCAGAACAATTTTCATTATTACAATTTAATACCTTCTTTTCAAAACCTATTTTTATACCAGATCTTGTTTCTCACATGTTAGGTGTAGGGCAGGAATCATGACTTCATCTACCCGTTCTGGGATTTCATTATCATGTATGGCTATGGTAGAGTTTTTTGTTATTGTTACTTTTTATTATTATTTTCTCCTTGCTGTGTGTTGATAACTTTACCTAACGCAGTGCTAAACACGTGCTTAAGAACTCAAAAGTATGCTATTGCAAAAACTGGAGAAAAAAAAAAAAGAAAAAAGAAGGAAAGAGGAGGGTGGGTGTGGCTTACCTTGGAAGTTGTGTATCATCTGCTAACTTGTTTCAGCGTTTTGAAACTTCACCAACCACTGATCAATACAGCCTCTGTCAAAAAGAAATATTTCACAATTAATCTTCAAAATCCTTATAGAAAATGCAACATATTTTCTTTTTTAAAGATTTACCTGTTTTTGGGCTGGTGCCTTAGCCTAACAGCTAAAGTCCGCACCTTGCATCAGGCAGTGGCATCCCATAAGGGTACCAGTTCTTATCCTGGCAGCCGCATTTCCTGTTCAACTCCCTGCTTGTGGCCTGGGAAAGCAGTAGAGGACAGTCCAAAGCCCTGGGACACTTCACCCGCGTGGGAGACCCAGAGAAGGCTCTGGGCTCCTGACTTTTGGATCGGCTGAGCTTCAGCCACTGTGGTCACTTGGAGAGTGAATCAGTGGATGGAAGATCTTCCTCTCTGTCTCTCCTCCTGTCTGTATATCTGATTTTCCAATTAAACTTAATAATAGACCTTTTAAAAATTTTTTGTTTTTATTGGAGAGGCAGTTCTAACAACAGAGGCAGATGCAGAAAGATCTTCTGTCTCCTGGTTCACTCCCTGCGTGGTTACATGTCCAGAGCAAAGCCGATTCAAAGCCAGGATCCAGGAATCTCTTCCAGGTCTCCCACTTGGGTGCAGGATCCTAAAGCTTTAGGCCATCCTCTACTGTTTTCCCAGACCACAAGCAGGGAGGTGAATGGGAAACAGAGCAGCCTGGACGCAAACCAGGTCCAATATGTGATCATAGAGCATGCAAGGCAAGGAATTAGCCACTAGGCTATTGTGCTGGGCTGAACATATTTTCTTACTGCTGTTAAGTATATACAGTCAGAATTAATTTTTCATCATAATGAAACACAGATAAATCAAAAGAGGAGAATGCAGGGAGGGCAATTGGCACAGGGGTCAAGACATGACTTGGTGTACACACAGCCCCTGTCAAGGAATCCTGATCATGCACACCCTGGGAGGCAGTGATGATGGCTGCCACCCATATGGGAGACTGAGACTATTACACACATCTGGGGAGGAAGCTCACATACAGAAGATCTCTACGTAGGTCTGTCTCTGTCTCTCCGCCTTTCACATAATTGAAAATGCAGGACAAAAACAGGACAACTCCCTTATCCCAGTTACTTTAGATGGTTGACCCTGTAAATATAGTATTTAGGAGCTGGTATTGTGTCACAGTGCGTTAAGTCACTACATCAGCATCCCACTTCCAATCCAATTTCCGCTAATGTGCCTGAGAAAGCAGAGGAGGATGTCCCAAGTGCCAGGGTCCCTGCCCACCCCCCATGGGAGACCTGGCTGCAGCCTGGCCCAGCCCCAGCTGTTGTGGCCTTTGGAGTGAAGAGTAAAGCAACAGGTGAAAGATCTCTCTGTCTCTGTCCCTGTCCGGGCTCCTTTCTGTGTATAACTCTGCCTTTCAAATGAATAGAATAAATAGATCTTTATTTTTTGGTAAGATTTATTTTATTTGTATTGGAAAGGCAGATATACAGAGAGGAGGAGAGACAGAGAGGAAGATTTCCTGTCAGTTGATTCACTCCCTAAGCAGCTGCAATCACCAAACCTGAGCTGATCCAAACCTGGAGCCTGGAGCCTCTTCCAGGTCCCCCACATTGGTGCAGGGTCCCAAGGCTTTGGGCTGTCCTCGACTGCTTTCCCAGGCCACAAGCTGGGAGCTGGATGGGAAGCGGCGCCCATATAGGATTAGGATTAGTACTGGAGCCCATACAGGATGCCAGCAGATGCAAGGTAAGGATTGCTAGGCTACCATGCCGGGCCCAAGATATTCATTTTAAAATATCAGTATTTAATAGAATGAATGATATTTTTATCAACAAGGGAAACTGTAGATATATGAAGGACTGGCTTGGAGAAGGGCCCTGAGCACCTCTGAAGGGCCCCCAGCCTCCATCTCCAACAGGGAGAATCCCACCTTACTGCAGCTAAGATATTCAAGGCCCAGGATTACAAAACAGCTATGAAAAGACCCTCCTGACTTAATGATGCTGTCTATCCATGTTTGGTAAAGTTTTAGCTCTTTGAGCATCCTACAGTTTAATGGCATCAAATGTAAAAGTTTTAATGCATCACAAAATCTTTGAAGGGTTTCTGCAATTAATAACATCATGAAAACCCATGAGCAGTAGGTACTTTTTCAGTGTACTTTCAGTTTCCACTGTTTACTAATGTCAGTCATGACAACATTCGTGAAATTCGCCTGCAACATCAATGTAACTCTACGAAGGTGTGTTTTTACCACTTCCCTGCTCCCACCTGAAGGAAGAAAATACTTACACTTCTCTCTTTTAGTTTCTTGCTCTCGGGTGAAGAACATATAAACCACTGATTCTGAGTCTCCATCTTCATTTTCTCAGCAGTGACTGTAGGTGTAAGTAGGACACTTTGCATCTGATGGTCTTTCTTCTCAATGTTTGATGAACTCCCTGTAATAATGAAGCAGAGAAAGCAAATGTTTTCATGCTCTATAGACTGGGTTTCAGTCTCAATCCTGTGCTAAGCAATTGGCTGTACTGACGCGAACTGCTGAGCCACTGTGACCCAGCGGGGAGATCACATCACGATTCTCAGCTTGTAACTGCAAGATCCAGAGGCCGCAGCACACGTAGAGACAGCATGAGCTGTCACACAGCACACGCTCCAACCCATTAGTTCTGCATGATTCTGAACTTTCATTTTACTTAATCTGTCAAAGGACTTTTTCAAACAATTTTTTAAATATTTTTTTGTTTTTATGGGAAAGTCAGATATACAGATTGGAGGAAAGACAGAGAAAGATCCTCCATCCACTGATTCACTTCTAAAGCAGCCACAATGGCCAGAGCTGCACCAAATTGAAGCCAGGAGCCATGAGCCTCTACCAGGTCTCCCACGCAGGTGCAGGGTCCCAAGGCTTTGGACTATCCTCAACTGATTTCCCAGGCCACAAGCAGGGAGCTGGATGGGAAGTGGAGCTGCTGGGATTAGAACCTGCACCCATATGGGATCCTGGCACGTGAAAGGCAAGGACGTCAGCCACTAGGCTACTCCTGGTCCCAAATGAAATTTTCTTAAGTCATAGCCTTGATACACTTCTATGGGATTTTGTCCCAACATTTTTCAACATTTCACAACAGAATTTATTCAATAATATATGTAACTTGTTTTCAAAACAGTAACAGACCAAGGATAATACTCCTAATTATATCCCAGTAAGAAGGAAAAGTCCAAAATATATATTCTAAAGTCACTAAAAATTGTCACTTTTCTATTGTGGTTATGCTATCAAAATGTTATTCGAATAGTTATAATTGTATAAATTTGTTGCAGTTCCTTTTCTGGCTTTTTTTTCTCATTACTTAATTCCCTTATTTATTTTTTGAATAGGTAAAATATACATGACCCTAATGACAAAACTAGTTAGAAAAACCTTGCTCCCAGTACAGATCACTGTAAATACCACTCTATCATGTTTCACTTTATAATATATTCTGCACATTATCTGTGTTCATATGTGAAGAATTTATGCATTCTTTTTTTCATGAACTCTGGGGAAAGATGATGAACTAGAAAGGGCCCCAAATACTTGGAGATTGTTCTACTGTTCCTATTTTCTGTAGTGCAGCCTGTCATTGTTTCCAAGCTTTGCTAATACAAAAACTGCCAGGATAACGTGATACAAATGCCAGTTTATATTTTATTTCCATGTGTCTTCAGATAACTTTTTGAAAGCTAAATGTGTGTGACAAACAGATGTATATGTAATTTTTACTCATTTCCTCAAGTTATCTGCTGTGTGCAAAGCGCAATAAAGGGCCTATTTTCCCCATAGTCTCTGTGTAACCTTTGTAATTGGGTGAGAAATTTTTTACCACAGATTTAGAATTCTTATTTCTGTTTGTATAACTCACAATGGAGTATCTCATACATCTGTACTCTGTTTTCTCTCTGTTGATTCTGTTTTCATATCTTTGGCCCATTTTTCCATTGATTTGATGGCCTTGCTTGGATTTTTAAGTTTTGTTTTCATTAGGGAGATCAGCTCTTTGAGGTGTTAATTCCAATAATTTTTCTTATTCCATTTATTTTTTGATGTTTTCCATTGCATTGTCCATTACATACCTTTCTAAATAAATACACAGACACACATAGACTAGGACTGATTAAGATATTGTTTTGTCTTTTCTGTAAGTTAGTCATAAATCCGAGGTGAAACCAAAATCCGTAGTTCCCATTTCATAGTTTAAATACATGATTCCATGGCTGTTTGGTTCTGAATGATACCTCTTCTTTCTGCCTGGAAGCACAGAGGAATTTTTCTTCATTATCTTGAAAGTCCAACAATTTTACTAGGACATGACTTGGAACTGACCACTGGGGATCAATTTTCCCAACACACAAAGAGGCTTTCAATATGTGGTTCTGAGACTTCTCATATTTTTAGAGTGTTTTTCATGGGCTCAAGTTTAAATATTAGATGTATTATATTTTCTCCTTAGAAACTGCTATCATCTACATTAATGACTTTCTACTTCCTTCTTGCAATTATCTACTTAATGTTCAGTCTCTTGGGTATCTTTGTACCTTTTTCATGTGTCCCTTATATTCAGCCAATGTCTTTGTTTTATTTTTATTTTTTAACTATTATTTATTGGAAAGGTAGATATACAGAGAAAGCTCTTCCATCTGCTAGCTCCCTCCCCAAGTGGCTGCAACAGCTGGAGCTCAGCTGATCCAAAGCCAGGAGCCTGGAGCTTCTTTCAGGTCGCCCAGGGGGTGCAGGGTCCCAAGGCTTTGGGTCATCCTCTGCTGCCTTCCCAGGCAGGGAGCTAGATGAGAAGTGAGCGGCCAGTATTATAACCAGTGCTCATATGGGATCCTGGCTCGTGCAAGGTGAGGACTTTAGCCACCAGGCCACCACATTGGGCTCCTTTGCTTTATTTTAAAAAATTATTTTTCTTTCTCTTCATTTCATTCTTTGCCTTCATCTCCTCCAGAGTTCAGCAGATTAACTAACCGCATCTGTCTCCCTTGACCTGCTTGCTTTTAGGTTCTGAATTTTGAATTAGGACATTTTCTCTCTGTTAATGCTTGTTTAAGGAAATTTAATTCAAGTATGGATGTTGTACTGTAGTTGCTTTTAGTTCTGTAATTAAAGGTTTGGTGGAGATCTTTCATAAGCTGAATGTTTTGACTCTCATTTTGTTTCTGTGCTCCAAAGTAATTTTATATGGATGTTGCCTGCCACCTGCTGTTCATTTTGGTGTGTTTGACTTTTTGGACTTTTTAGTTCATAACTACCTATTTTTAAAAAGGTTTCCCCTATCAATCTCTTCTTCTCTTCCCCTCTCACATCTCTTCTTGTTAGATTCCTAGACCCAGTGGGCATCTCTCTAAGAATTACTTTATCTGAGTTCTGCTGCCCTCTAGGATCTGTTCTTCACTACTTTAAACAAAGTCTCCAGTTATCTGCATGGGCTCCACAGCTGGCTCTGCTGCACTTCAATGCAGGATTACTTACAAACCCATGAATTCCCAGTATGCCAGGAAGGCAAAGGTGATGGTGTTTCATTTGCTCTTCTTACTAATCTGCATGGAATTTACGGATTTCCTGAAGTAAGCATAGGGACATCCTGATTTACTGTTCCCACTTCCTTCTAAAACCTGAGGTCAGCCTTTATTTTTATGAAGTAATTTTCTACATTTTCTGCAAGAAATCATAATTTAAATTCAGTATTTTCTTTTCTTGAACTTAAACCTTCTTTGTGATTTAACATATAATTTTTTTATTGAAAGCCAGATATACAAAGAGGAAGAGAGACAGAGAGGAAGATCTTTCATCTGCTGATTTACTCCCTGAACAGACATAACAGCCAGAGCTGTGCCGATCCAAAGCCAGGAGCCCAGAGCCTCTTCTGGGTCTCCCATGCGGGTACAGGGTCTCAAAGCTTTGGGCTGTCCTTTACTGCTTTCCCGGACCATAAGTAGGCAGCTGGATAGGAAGTGGGGCTGCCAGGATTAGAACCAGCACCTATATGCGATCCTGATGTTTGTAAGGCGAGGACTTTAGCCACTAGACTACCGTGCTAGACCCAAAAACACATATTTTTTGTGAATGGATTTATATTTTGATATATGTGTAAGAGCTCTATAATTCTATGACTATTTTATCTTTTATCTGTTTACTCTGACTTAATTTCAGAACATGTATTAAAATATCCTATTATTAGCTTATTTTATGCTCCTTATATATCTTGTAAATTTGTAACTTTGCTTTGGTAAAGTTTAAAAAAATTTTATAGGAATTGTAACCTCTTATTTTGCTATAAAAAGAACATGATTACATTTTCAATACATAACTTCTATACAAACAAAAACTAAAACACCACAGTAAAACACAAAAGAAAAAATTATTTTTCATTGGTAATGCATGATAAGATATTACCATACTTTGAATCAGAGAATAACTCTTAGAAATTATAACTAAGAGTAGCCTTTAGCTTATACTTTCCATCACAATGGTATGTGGTCTAAAATCTGAAATGTATTATCAACATGCAGGATAATAATTTTTTTAAAAGGTTTATTTTGTATTGGAAAATTGGATTTATAGAGAGAAGGATACCCTTCCATCCGTTGACTCACTACCCAAGTGGCCACAGCAACAGGAGCTGAGCTAATCTGAAGCCAGGACTCAGGAGCTTCTTCCAGGTCTCCCATACAGGTGCAGGGTCCCAAGGTTTTGGGCCGTCCTCGACTGCTTTCCCAGGCCACAAGTAGGGAGCTGGATGGGAAGTGGAGCAGTTGGGACATGAACCAGTGCCAATATAGATCCCAGTGCTTGTAATGTGAGGATTTAGCTATTGAGCCATTGCACTGGGCTTACAGCCATAGTTTTTGCTTGTTTGTTTGTTACAAATTTATTTATTTTTATTGGACAGGCCTGCAGCTGTGCCTTTTATATTTAGAAATCTGAAATCTTTTTTTTTGTTAAGCTGGACATATTAACCTTATTGACTGTTTCATCTTTGCACTCACAAATACTTCCAACACAAAATGTGACTAATTTTCTCACATTAATCAATTCTACAATTCTAAGAGCATCAATTAAATGTCCTACCATTTATTTATGATTTATTTACTAACTTGAGTGAACATAGACCTCACAAGACTGTCTGCAACATTTAGATATTGGTTGCAACACGCTGTAACAAATTATAACCCCGAATTTTCACCAACCCAGTACAAAGTAGAGTCCAACAACCCTTTCTGTGGTTCCAGTAATTCCCTAGAACAGCTTGCCAAACTCATGACTGCATGTTACTTACTATTATCAGTTTTAGGTAGCTATTCAGAAGACAACTTAGGATCAATCAAGGGTAATGATGCACAGAGCAAGGTTTGCAGTTGAGTCTGCGGAGCTTCCAAGTTCCCTGTAGGTGCCTTACCCTCCTGGTACTTCAATGTTCAAACCAACTGGGAAGCTCTCACCACAGTGCTGGCTCCTGTGGCTACATATAGGGATACAAATATACATGGCCATTTTTCTCTCCTCCATTTGGTGGGCTATTCCTTTGTGTGTGTGTTGTTGTTGTTGTTGGAAAGTCAGGTATACAGAGAGGAGGAGAGACAAAGATCTTCTGTCTACTGATTCACTCCCCAAGTGACCACAATGGCTGGAGCTGAGCCAATCCAAAGCCAGCAGCCAGGAGCTTCTTCTGGGTCTCCCACATAGGTGCAGGGTCCCAAGGTCCTGGGCTGTCCTCAACTGCCATCCCAGGCCACAAGCAGGGAAGGGAGCTGGATGGGAAGCAGGGATGTCGGAATTAGAACTGGCGCCCACATGGGATCCTGGCGCGTTCAAGGCAAGGACTTTAACTACTACGTTATCATGCCAGGCCCGAAATAATTTTAAGAAAGACATTTCTGAGGCTAGATAAGGAATGTATGAAGAACAAAGGGTTACTCAAGGTTGCTGTGAACAGCTGAGATGCTATATGCTCACCACCCAAGTCAGACTGACATGACATGATCATGCCTCCTGAGGCCCAGCGCAGTAGCTTACTAGCTAAATTCCTTGATTTGCATCTGCTAGGATCCCATATGGGTGTTGTCCCACTTCCTACCCAGCTCCTTGCTCGTGGCCTGGGAAAGCAGTTAAGGACGGCCCAAAACCTAGGGACTCTGTACATGTTGGGAGACCTAGAAGAGGTTACAGGCTTTCAGCTCAGCTCAGCTCCAGCTATTAGGGACACTTGGGGAATGAATCAACGGACAGAAGATCTTCCTCTCTCTGTGTCCTCCTTTCTGTATATCTAATTTTGCAATAAAAATAAATAAATCTTAAAAAAAAAATCAGTAGGTCTTAGCTTCCACTAACCTAGAGCCCATCCTTTTGGCCAAGTAATGCCTGCTGGTACATTTTATGATGAAATAATATTTCCTGTCAGAGAATACCTATACTCTAACTAGCACTGTACCACTTTGGAAAGCTTTCCAAGAATCATTAGAAGTTGCTGGGGGTATGGTGGGTATCCTAGTGACTACAGTCTTCACCTTGCATCCACGGGGTTGCCACATGGGCATTGCTTCGTGTCCCAACTGCTCCACTTCCCATCCAGCTCCCTTCTTGTGGCCTGGGAAAGCAGTTGAGGACGGCCCAAAGCCCTAGGATCCTGCACCCGCATGGGAGACCTGGAAGAGACTCCTGGCTCCTGGTTTCGGATGGGATTGGCACAGTTCAGCCCGTTGTGGCCATTTAGGGAGTGAATCATCGGACAGAAAATCTTCCTCTTTGTCTCTCCTCCTCTCTGTATATCTGACTTTCAAATTAAAAATAAATAAATCTTAAAAAAAAAAAAAAGAAAATGAATTTCTTTTTGTTTCCTCACACCGGAAAAAGAGGGCAGAAGGGGCGTTCCCATACATGAGCCTCCACAAGGAGCAACCATACTATAGTCGACAGAGTTGCACACATTTCAATAAGCTGAAACCAAAACAACAAGATTCTTCCTTTATGTCCCTGCTTTCCGTTACGTTTTTAGTGTTCAGAAAAATACCGCAGGAGCCAGCAGCACTGGGCAGGCTGGTACCCCTGCTCAGTGCAGGCTGAGCTGTTTCCTATCCAGCTGCCTGGCTATCAAGCTCCAGACAAAGCCAGAGGATCAGGTCCCTGCCACCCATGTGGGACACTGGGATGTTGTTCCTGGATTCCATCTGGCTGTGGAGGCCACGGGGAAGTGAAGGTCTCTCTAGGTCTGCCTCTCAAGAGATTAAACCTTGAAAAGCTAGGAGGAGACGGAACGCGATAAAGGAGGAGGGACGGAGAAAGGGGGTAGGAGAATAAAGCAGTAGCTGGTCGCTGGATAACAAAGAGAAGGAACAGGATCCCAAGTACGGCGGGGAGGTTCCTCTGTCAATCAGCCCATCAGCCAGCTGAGCATTGAGGGGGACCGCGGTCACTGTCTTTCCCAGACGCAAACTGCTGCAAGAGCCCTCCGGAACCCACAACTCAATGTCAAGGCATACACGCCTTCTCTAATCTCATGATCGATACAATAAATGGAGCCAGTAACCACTACCTTTCCTCGCTCTCCCTAAATCAAGAATGAGACCCGGTCCCAGGGTGTGTTCCCTTTTCGACAAAAGGGAAGTCGCCGGATTCCCTTCAGGTCCCTCCCCCGTCCCACTGCTCCCCTGGCACCCGCTCTGCAAACTCCAACCACCACCCCAGCTGTTTTCGATTCCCGAAAAGCCCACTTGTAGCCACACACAAGATGGCAGCCACAGACCTACCCTCAGGAACAGCGGAGCCACCACACCAGCGATGCCGGTCTCTAAACTGCGGATCGCCTCATTGGCCCAGCGAGAGAGCGCGAGACAAGCCGAGAGTGTAGATGGCCAATCAGGAGCCTGCGCGCCTCAGGCAGCGCCGCGAGGGTGTGAGGTCCGTGCGCGGAGCGGCTGAGGCGTGCGCCCGCCGGAAAAGCCGACCAATGGGATCCCGGCCAGGCGGCGGGGGCTTCCAGCGTTCGCCTCCTGCCATGTAGTGATCGCTTTAAGGAGCCAGGATGGTATAGAGGTCTCGCGCTCCTCACTTTCCGTGCTGGTGCCAGGCGACACAGTGGTTGGGTTAGTAAATGGTGAATGTTATACTTGCCGGCCGGAAGGCATATCTGCGGCCTCGGGCTTTGGGCGGCGTGGGGACACTAGCCGGTCCTCGTGAGGAACCCCTCCCCGGGGACAGCGGCGCCCTCACGACTGCCTAGCCACGAGTAGCCGAGCCACTGCTGTGTGGGGGTCTCAGCCGGTCCCTTCGGAGCCGCGGGAGGACGCGGGGTCGCCGCGGGGCCCTGGGCCCCTGCCACCGCCTCCTGGTGCACACAGGCGCGGTCGCGAGCTGGGGCGAGGGGGCCCCCCGAGTGCTCAGCCCTGGGCCCGCCGCCGCGCCCCCATCATTTGGTGTTGTAAAGAAAGGATTCCTGCGGTGATCCCGGAGCCGCGGGGCTTTGGAGGGTGCCGGACCTGGCCTGCCAAGTAACGTCCAGCCGCAGAAAGAGAAGGGTTAACCACTGACTTTCCACAGGTAAGGCTGCCTGACACGCGCCCCGAAAAGGTGAGGTCAGCAATCCCACATCACCGAGTTGTCTCCGTGTCACGCCTGGCGAGGGGGCGACAGCAGCCAGAGAAAGCAATGGAAGGAGTGGGCATGCAAGCACCTGGGGTGTGTGGAAATGCGGCGTGGGTGAGGCCCCGGAGGTGCGGAGCGATGGAGTGGACAGAACGTGGGCTTGGTGGCGAACGTTTCCTCTGACCTGCCCTCGCTTCGTCTCACGTGGGTGCTTGTGCGGATTCACGAAGAACGCGGCAAGTACTCAGCAGGCTTGCCAGGCACTACTCTAGAAACATGCTTTCCCGGGCAGGGGCGGTGGTAACGCTGTCTTAGCACCTCTGGGCCAATGTCTTAAATGTAGGACGTCCTTAAAAACTCAAGTTGAGCACTAAATACTGGTAGTGGAAACTTTGAAATTGATACTGTGTTTGCGGAGGTGACAGCCTGGAACTTCACCGGGTTAGGGGATGTTAAAACAAAAGGACAAGCTTGGCTTGAAGAGCAGCAGGTGGATTTAATTGTCCTCTGCCAAGTGGAAAAAAAAAATGAAAAAAGTGAGGGAAGTCTCTGTCAGTCATTCTGAAATATTAACAGCGGCTCAGCTCTCTTTAATACACTTCATTTTCCAGATTTCCTTCAGTGAACCCAGTGTGTGTGCAGGGCAGGTGAGGGCTTTTTAAGCTTTGTGGCCCGGTGAGGTAGCCGAAGGCTAAAATCCTCACCTTGCACACGTTGGGATCCCATGTGGGCATCCGGTCTAACCCCAGCCGCTTCACTTCCCATCCAGCTCCCTGCCTGTGGCCCGGGAGGGCAGTCGAGGACGGCCCAATGCTTTGGGACCCTGCACCCGCGTGGGAGACCCGGAAGAGGCTCCTGGCTTCCGATTGGCACAGCTCCGGCCATTGCAGGCACTTGGGGAGTGAATCTCTGGATGGAAGATCTTCCTCTTTGTATATCTGACTTTCCAATCTTTAAAAATCTTTAAAAAGGAAAAAAAGAATAAAGCTTTGAGGGAGCGCTTGGGTCAGAGTGTCCGTGGAAACACTGGAAGGCTTGTTGGTAATTGTTGTAAATGGCTTTTTTAAAGGAGCAATTCGTTTTTTAAAATTATACTCTTAACTTTCTAAATTAAATACTCTTTGATGGCTACCATGGTAACCGAGAAGGACGGAGTTTGCCTCCAACCAAACCCAGAACAGATGGCAGAATTCTGGCGGGCCCCTCAGGCAGTGAGACCACCTTTGCACCAATGAGGGGCACAGACCTATATCCCCCTAACTATAAGGACCGAAGCGACCTCCGTCTTGGTCTTGGCTTCCGTGTCAAGGAGAGTTTAAAAGGTCCCCTTCCCTGTTTCTTCTGCGCTCTTCTTCCTCTGCAGCCCACTCCTTCACGCCCGTGACCGTGGCTCCCTGAAATAAAGGCCACCTAAATTCTTTTCATATATTCGGCTGAGTTATCCTTTCCCTGGCGAGTGCCAAATCTAACACTGTTTTGTATCCTACTTTTACAAAGTTAGAACTCACAGATAGAACTTAATACAGTTCCCTAGTTGCACCCCGACACAACAATTTCTGTGTCCCCACAACAGCCTTTGGATCTGAGCCTTCAGGTTTTTGATATGCCTTCACAGCCTTTGTTGATGCTTATAAGGGGCTTAAAAACAAATGGGAGAACAAAATAGCATTCTGTAGCGGTGTGTCACCTGAACATATTTTCTTAAGGTATGCATGTTTTTCATAGCATCTTATTTGGTCATTCCTCTCACCTGTTACATACAATGATCGAACTCTATAATTGCAGCACAGCTTCTAGTAAATTACTTCAATTCCTAATCTTTCACAGTCCTCTCTGTTTGTCTGTTGGATGTTTTAGATGCTATGGAACTTTATCTCAAACTCTGTGTGCTGCTGCTTTGTTTATGGAAAGTGCTTTATCAAAACAAAAATTGTGCAGTAGTAAAGAGTTACACCCAACTTCTGTTATCAACATACTAATATGATATTTTGGGTGTGTTTCTGTTCTGTCAGGTGTAAAATACTTTCCTCTTTTCTTTGATTTTCATATTAGACACTTAATGTTTCTTATATTTACTATAATGTTTCTTATATTTACTGGTGTGTCTTTTCACATTCTTACATTTTAATCTTTTTTTTTTTTAACACTGTGATGCTGTTATTGATTCTAATTTAAAAATATTCTTGCTGGTCTTTGCTTAATCCAGTCTGAGAGTCTGTCCTTCAATAGGTAGAATTGGCACATCTGGCTTTACTATGATTATTAACATATTTGTCCTTACTGTTTCATTTATCATGCTTCTCTTTGTTATTTTTCTATTTCTCTTTTTAATTGAGGTTGACTCTAAATTGACTTTTTTCAGTTTTCTCTCAAGTTATCTTTACATTGTGTTTGAAAGAGTTCTTTTTTTTTTTTTTTCCTTTTTTTAATTGGAAAGGCAGATCAGGTTTACAGAAAGATCTTCTATTTACTGGTTTGCTCTCCAAATGGCCTCAACAGCTAGGGCTGAGCTGATATGCAGCCAGGAGCTAGGAGTTTCTTTGGGTTTGTCACAAGGGTGCAGGACCCCAAAGCTTTGGGCCATCCTCTACTACTCTCCCAGGCCATAAGCAGGGAGCTGGATAGGACTAGTGGAACAGCTTGGACACAAACCATTGCCCAAATGGGATCCCGGAGCTTGCAAGGCAAAGATTTAACCATTGAGCTATCATGCTGGGTACTTACCTTTACATTTTCAACATAGTTCTTAAATTTAATGAAATCTAAATTCAACCAATATTAGTGTCCCCTTTGGATGAACTTAGCATGCTTCTACTTTTACTTTGTCTCAGCTCCAAATATTGTTTTCCTGTCTTCCTCTGCTATAGGGACATAATCTGTGGTGGTAATATCTTTTTATTTTATGACTGACATCCATGTTTAGTGTACATTTGTTAATTAATGTGCTTATTTGCTGACTATTGCTTTTTGTAACTCAGTACTTCTAGATCTGGTTTTTTTTTTTTTTTTTTTTTTTTGCAACAAGTACTTCCTTATTTCTTTCAGAGTCCAAGTGTCAGCATATCTGTTAAGTCTTAGTTTTCTCAATCTCAGGACCAAAAGATATGTGGCTGAAAATAGAGCTCTGGGTTCATACTTACCTGCCTGTGATATTTGATTATGGTACTTCCATTGAGAAGTCTCATTATGCAGTTTGATGATAACATTGCTTTCAGAAAATCTAGGTTTTCTGGAAGCTTCTAAGATTTTGTCTTTATTTTTGATATTCTGAAGCTTACCATATTTGTTTGTGGTAAAAGTATTTTAGTAGTTTGTATTGCGAATTTTGTTCTGCTCGATACTCAGTGGACTTGCATGTAATTCTGAGAAATTCTCTCTTGTTGTTGCCTCATCTCTGTTCTCTTTTTTGCTCTATTTTTTTTTCGTTCTCTTTGCTTTATGCTTTTATTTGTTTCTTGTCCATATTCTCTTCCAGCTTACTACTTGGCTCTTTGTATGAATCTGCTGTTAATTATTCAATCATCTAATGAGTTTCTTTCAGTGATTTTTCTTATCATGTCATTTCATAGATGAGGATTCCTTCTTCAGCTGTTTGAGGATGTTCAATACATTATCTGTGTTAGAGTGATCTTTCGGGTGCTCTTGGGTTCTGCTGTTGAATGGATGTTCATCAGTCTAGGGGCCTGATGACGTCCTTTTTGTGGCCTTCAGGTGGCTGCAGGCTCTTGTCTGTGCAGGTTCCTGCTAGTCCCCTTTGTGTCGTAGTTGTTTTGCATGTTTCTTCTCCCCAAAGGAGCCTCACAGATTTGACCCACAGGGAGTTTGCATTTCATTTTCAGTATGGCTGAAACTTTTTTTTTAAGATCTTGTAATAAGTTTGCAAGTTTAGTGTAGCAGTGGCAGAAGAATTTCCAATGTGTTGACTAACATCTTGAGGATGAAAATTGTTGATCCATTCCACCCCTAATTATAAATCCTAAAGAAAAAGAGTTAATATATAAAGTATAGTTATTCCAGCATTGTGTCAAAAATTAATCTAGAAAATAATATAAATGTGTGGTACAGTTTATTTACATCAATTAAGAATATATTAAAATTTAACTTTATAGTAGTATTTGATGTTTTTGAATTTTTCATTAGTTATTTCTATTTTATTTGAAAGGTAGAGAGACACAAAGTCCTTCCATCTGTTGGTTCGTCTCCAAAATGCTCCAAGAACCAGGGTTGGGCTAGGAGGAAGCCAAGAGCTCAGAACGTTGTCTGGGTCTTCCACATGGGACAGGGGGTTACCTGCTGCCTCCAGCAGCGTGTATTCATAGGAAGCTGAATTGGAAGTCCTGGAGCCAAGACTTGAATCAGCCACAATAGCATAAGATACACAAGTCCCAAGCAGCAAGTTAACCACTGTGTCAAATGCTCACACTTAAATTCTTAACCAGAGTATATTATGCAGCCACTTAGTCATTAAAAAATGTTAATAGTGGAGAGAGTACAAGCAGTGTTATTAATGAAATATTATTAAAAATCATACTAAAATATTAGGTTTTTTTGAAAAACTGAGTACGTAATAGTAACCATTGCTGACATTTATTAAATAATTCATATGGGTAATGCTATTCTAAATGATTAAGTGCTATTCTCACAGCACTTAATACTTTTCATTAATATCCCCATTTAAACATTTTTAATAAGGCATGAGATGAGGGTAGTTTAATTACTAATAACGTGGTGTGTTATATAACAACTTTATGGTTAATAGCATTATAAGAGATTCTTAATTTCTTTGTAATTTTAGTATTTTTGGTTTTTTACTCATTTTTCCCAGTTAACATGTATTTTGGTAATGATTGTTTAAAAGACAAGCCATATTGAACCTAGCACAATGGCCCAACGGCTAAAATCCTCGCCTTGAACACATCAGGATCCCATATGGGCGCCAATTCTAATCCCAGCAGCCCCACTTCCCATCCAGCTTCCTGCTTGTGGCCTGGGAAAGCAGTCGAGGACGGCCCAAAGCCTTGGGACCCTGCACCTGCGCAGGAGACCTGGAAGAACCTCCAGGCTCCTGGCTTTGAACTGGTGCAGCTCTGGCCATTTTGGCTACTTGGGGAGTGAATCATGGGACAGAAGATTCTTCCTGTCTGTCTTTCCTCCTCTCTCTATATATGACTTTGTAATAAAAATAAATAAATCTCTTTTTAAAAATTAAGCCATGTTACAAGAATATCATTTTTCCTGTTTTGTCATTACAGATATACAACGTTCTTTCCTGGTTTCCTTACAGATTTTTCATTCATGTGTGGACACAAAAGATGGAGTTGGCTTTTATTTTTAAGAAGATACTGTTGGTGCTCTATTGCTATTGAAAAGATTGTCTTGTGAAGATGCACGGACTTCTCTTTCAGTTGGACTAGCAGTCATTTTGGAACATTGCTGCAGCCATAGTCTCTATTTGAAAATTCAAGTATCAAAGAATATTAGATTTAAGATGGTATAAAATCAGATCTTGTCTGAGAAGTGCAGATTTGGTGAGACCTCAGTTGCAGTCCAGCTGTATTCTCCAGCCAGAGTGATTCACTACCATTCAGTCCTTTGCTAAACCTAAACTAGAAGACTTAATAGACGGTGCTGAAAGATGGGAGAAAAAAACGGTAGGTTGAAGAACACTTCGGTAAACTTCTTTGTATTTTATGGGATCCTCCCCGCCCCCGTTCCCGAGGTTGTTGTCTGATGTTTTTCTCATGAGTTTACTGGGAGGAAGATCACAGGCAGAAGTGACATCTTCATCATGTAATGTCAAAGGTATGTGTTATCAAGACATTCCTGTGTTGGTATTGTCCTGGTATATGACTCCTTTAGGGAGAGATAGTTGATTTCTCCACTGCTTTCCGCCCCCCCCCCCCCCCCCCCGGCTCCTTCGCCCATTAGCTGTTTTTTAGAAGTCACTATGTGTGGCCCACATTAAAGCGGTGAAGATTTGGAGCAATCTTCAGTTTGGCAACTGAAGTTACTAAGCTGCCTGTCTCTTATCAGCCTGCTAGGGTTTGGGTCTTGACTTGATTTCTGATCAAGCTAATGCTCTAGGAGGCAGCAGGTCAAAGCTCAAATGCTTGATTCCCTGCCAAACATATGGAAAACAAACATTGGAGTCTGGGTTCCTGGTTTTGGCCTAATCTTGCCCCGGCTGTTGCAGATATTTGCCAAGTGAACCAACAGCTGAAGATGTGTTTGTCTCTGTCCCTTCCAGCTTTCAAAGAACAAAAAAAAAAAGGAGGTGGGGGTGGATTGTGTTTCCTCTTGAGTTGAATTTCTACATGAATTATTTGATATTCTTTTAAATGAGTTTTGGGGTTTTTTGTTTCTATGCTTGTTTTCCTTTTTTTGAGTTTTTTTTCTTTTTCTTTGTAAAGGGAGATCTATGGAGAGAAGGAGAGACAGAAAGAGGTCTTTCATCTGCTGGTTCATTCTCCAAATGGCCACAGTGGCCAGAGCTGAGCTGATCCAAAGCCAGGAACCTGCTCTGGGCCTCCCATGTGGATGGAGGAGCCAAGGACCTGAGCCATCTTCTGCTGCATTCTTAGACCACAGGCAGGGAATTGGATTGGAATTGGAGCCACCAGGACATGAACTGGCACCCAAATGTGATTCCAATGCTGTGAGGTGGAAAATAAGCTTGTTATACCACTGTGCACACTCCTGCATGAGAGATTTATTTCTTCCTCCCCTGTTTACTCAATCATTTATATTCATAAAACCTCATGGATACTTTCAACACTTTGGCTTGTAATCTACTATCTGTTCTGTTGCTAAAATTGTGCCAGGTTTGACTATTGAGAACCTTCCAGTTGGCTTTAATGCTCCTTTGACACAACCCTATCAGTGTAGGTGGTGTGTTATGTTTTTGTTTTTGTGCTTTGTTTGTTTCTTCGTTGCTTAACACTTTTTGTTTTCCCCAGATTGATGTTGTATCTTTTTTGCCCTGGTCCTAGAATCACTTCTTGTATGTGTTCTGGTTCTTTTTATTGGAGAATGATAGCGGAAACCAAGATCATAAATGTACTTAGTGTTATAGGAGTGTCTTGCTAATAGAGCCACTTAGTTGACCATACAAGGAAATACTTTTGTCTGTTAACATACGCATATGTACCCATGGCTAGAAATGCTTTTATGTATAACCATCTGTGTCTACAGTAAGCTAAATATGAATGTACATTTATTGTTTTCAACTCTAATCCATTACCATAAGATCCATTCTAGTGTCTTCCCCACTCCTAAAATCAGAAACTGGACTTCTGTTACTTTGCTTCTAGTTACTTAATTGTTTGACAGTCAAATGGTAAGTCCCACCTGGGAAAATGTCACTTAGTGTGCAGTGTACACATGCAGTTCCATTTGCTTTAGATCTTACCAGTTCTACTCATATGCAAAGTCACTTAAGTAAGCAGTTGCACATTCAGTGACGTTGTTTGTACATTGGTAATATAGTTAAATTCTCCTCAGTTCATATGCTTGCTGGGATCCCTAACCTCCTAAATGATTTTTCAAAATTGCATATAAAAAGGATTACTCTTTGTTTTTGAAAATCCTACAGGTTTTGACAAATATATTTGTCATATACTTGCCATTTCAATATGATACAGAGTAGTTTCTCTGCCATGCATTTATATAGGTCACAGTACTGATTTCATCAGACCATGTCACCAGCCAATGAGTCTGAGGCTTTTTTAGTCTTCTGGCCCCTCTATGTTCTTAAGAATATTTAACGTCTGAGTAATATCTATTGATATTTATTGTATTTGAAATTGAAACTGAAAAGTTTCACAAATATTAACTGACTTATTAGTAACATAAGACCAACATGCTAAAAATGTGAAAATTAATTTCTAAAACAAAAATTACTAGTACAAAGCATAACATTATTTTGCATTATTACAAATATCCTTGGCTTAATAGAAAAGAGATTCTCATCTCTACATTTACAAATCTGCAATGCTTGTTGCTTTCGTGAAAAGGTATAACGACTATGAAACTTAGCACAGAAATTAGAAAAGTGTCCTACTTGCATTTCAAATAGTGGTGGATATTTCTTTTTTATAACCCCAACACTCAGAAATCATCATTCCTTGAAGGTAGTTTGCAGTCTGGGTCTGAACTCTTTTATCAGTTATTTTTTAAATACATGGTTACCTTAAAATTTATTGGTCTGTTTTGCCATTTGAATGAGTAGACCTTTTTACCTACATGATTTTCCTATATCATAAAATGGCCTCTTGAAAAATATGGGTTCAGTGAATCATGGTGTTTTTCTACATCTTATTGCATTTAATCATATAATATAAAAATCATATGTTAATATTTCAGTTGATCTTGTTTAAAGCATGGTTCATTATTGATAAACCTTCAGGCTTGCTCTGGCAGATGTGGTTTCCAAAACTAATTTTCACCCTGTAGCTTGAATCTTATCATTAGCAACAAATATTGTTGGTTTTGTCCTTTAAGGCATAGATTTACTTTTTCATTTCCAAGAAACTGTTTTCTCAACAAACAAGTCTGGAAAATCAGTCTTGTCAATTGCTCCTTTAACTAAGATGATTTTCTAAGTAGTACAACAGTAATGCTTTTTCCCATGCCTTTTGCTGATGAGGCAGCTTTTTCTTTGACAGGTAGGGTCGCATAATTAAGTGGCAGTCCTGGGATTCAAACCCAAATACCTCTGAACAAAGCCTAGATTGCTGCTCAGTCTTCCTCTTCCTCTGACTCCTGAGTTACTGCTCTTTTGGGTTTCCCTTCCACCTTCTCGGTTTCTATAGTTTCTTTTCCTTTTGTTGATTGCCTATGTCTTAATATCCTTCAGAAAACTCTTCCTTCCATTCATTTGCCCTAAGGAGTCTTGTCTCTGTTGCTTCAAGAGTTATGTGCAGTTGACTCCAAATATTGTACTTAGATCTTACTCTGAAGCCTCTGCATCTAGTTACCTAATGGGCATCTTCCTACTTGAATTTCCCACCTGGGACCGACCCTGCACCTGTGTGGGAGACCTGGATTACTGATTACTCATTTCGGATTTGATCAGCTCTGGTTATTGCAGTCACTTGGGGAGTGAATCATTGGACAGAAGAGCTTGCTCTCTGTCTCTCCTCCCTCCCCCCCCTCTCTCTCTATATATATATATACTTTACAATATAAATAAATAAATCTTTAAAAAAATTTAAATAGAAATGTGAGAAAAGCAGGTATGAGAAACTGACAAAAGCCAGATCTTGCACTTGTACCACATTTAAAAGTAACAAAAATGCCCATAAGAATTGCAACGAATAAAGATCACTTGTGATGCTATTATAAATTAATGAACAGAGAGCCAGGTTTACCAAAAACACATTTTTTTTCTTAATAAAAAGTAAACCCAGAACCTCCAAGTTTGGCAAAGGAAGATAAGAGACTTGGGTCCCAAAGGAGACCTCTGGGTAGTTAGGGCTGCTGCTCCCATGCAGCCTTAGGAGAGATGTTGTTTCCCTAGTAACTTGTGACATGATCATACTGCAGAAGATGTCCACTTCTAAATGCTGCAACAGCCAGGTCTGGGCCAGGCCACAAGCAAGAGCCTGAACTTTATCTATGTGTCCCATGCGGTTGCATTGGCCCAAGAAATTGGGCTAGCTTCTGCTGCTTTCCCAGGTGTATTAACAGGGAGCTGGATTAGAAATGGAATGGCAGACTCAAATCATGATCATATGGGATGCTGTTGGCACAAGCTGTAGGTTCACCCACTGTTCCCATAGTGCAGGCCCTCTCAGTGTACCTTCTAAATTAGCAGAACTTGGGAATATACCTAAGTCATATTGTTTGTTTCTAGTCCTTTTTAAGGAACATGAACAAAATCTTTCGCCTCAAGGAAATGATAGCTCTATTGGATCTTCATTTAGAAACCAAATTGATTTTTCAGTAACACACGTTATGAATATTGCATTTTGTTTCTGTTATATGCTTAGGATATTGTTACGGTTCTAGGTGATGCAAAAGCTTTCTGGATGGAGCTGAAAGATTGTGGAAAAGTGGACTTTATATTTGAACAAGTGCAAAATGTGCTGCAGTCACTGAAACAAAAGATCAAAGATGAGTCTGCCACAAATAAAGGTTTGATGCAATATACACTTTAAATGCATTTAGTATTGAATATTTTCTACAGCCAATATGTTCTATTTCCAATATTATGGTTTGTTTGTAATATCTATTGGTTTTTTGATGTTCTATTAAGTTTTTCTTTTATCAGTCTATAAACATTTTGTAAAAGTGAGTGAATGTGATTATGAATAACAACTATTTTTTATCTTTTTTATCTTCTCCCCTTGCCCTGCTTTTAGCCTTTGTGTCATTGGGAGGAATGTTAAAATAAGAAGGGTTTTGAAAAACCATATCTGTTCAGCATATGCTATTCAGCAAATATAAGAAACTAACAAAGAAAGTTTGTTTAGAAATCATCATTAAAAATTAGTCTTCTCAAAACAAAATTTGTTTTCTATATAGGTAGTCATTTCAGCCATCAAGGTTTTTTTTTTTTTTTTCAACTCTGATTGTAAAAACATAAATGTGAAAACCTCCTTCCTTTAGTGCATCAGGATGCCTGGGAATTTGATTTACTGTATTTGCTTTTAAAGTTTGTTTCCATTTTAGTGAAAGGCAGAAAGCTAGACAGATTTTTCTGTTCTGGTTTATTCCCCAAATGCTTGCCAGGCAGAAGCTGGAAGCTGGAAACTCCATGTGGTTCTCCCACATGGCAGGCAAGGATCCAAGTTACCCTTGGTGATTAGCTTGAACCATCAGCTGTCTCTGAGGCTGTGCATTTGCAGGAGGCTGGATCAGAAGCAAAGTAGCTGAGGTTCGAGCCAGGCACTCCAATGTCGATGCAGGCTTCCCAGGTATCACCTTAATCGCTGTACCCAACAGCTGCCTTAAGATATATATCCAGATTTAAATCAAAGATTTCCCCAAATTATTCTTAATGTTATGACCTTAATCTATTATGTATTTCTTCCAAAAAACTTGTACTGTTTTTTATTTTTGTATTTTTTTGTAAATTTTTCATGAATCTGAAATGTCTAGATGTAAATCTAGTTCTATCACTTACAGCTACATCACTGGAAATAAATAGCTTGATCTCTGAGCCTTCATTTCCTTGTCTGTAATGCAGATAATGGTAGGAACTTCCCAGCTAGTTGTAACAATTAAATGTGAGAAAATATACAAATTGTTTAGTGTGATGCTCATGCTGACTGCTTTTGTTATGCTTTTTTTTCTTTCCTTGACAGAATACATCCAAGCAATGGTCCTAGTGAATGAAGCAACTCTGAGTAACAATTTGGCATTGATAAAAGGTATGTTCAATCCCAATCTAGAACATTCTCTGGTATTTTCTTACCGGGTGGCATGCCAGCTTTAATAGGTCAGATTAATTAAATTAGGAGATAATTTAAAATGAAATGTGGAATCCACACTGCTAAGCTCTATAAATGTTACTTTTCTATAGTTAAGTGGAAAGTCCTGCTCTTGCGGAAGTAATAAATGTATGATCTACCAAGTCTCCTAAGGATGGGATGAACAAATGTGTGTTTACTTCAAAACATCTTCTGATGTGAAGAAGACAAATAGAATTCTGAGTCTGAAACCTATCTTCCATGAAGAACACAACTATAGTGATGTCTCTCATTTCTACCTTTTTTAAGCCATTAATCTTCCAAATTTTAAATGAACTCAGTATAGAAGAATTAGAGATAACATACTTTAGAAAAAAAAAACCCTATTTTTTCATAGTGTTTCTGATATGAAATATGTGGACTTTCCACATCAGATAATTTTCTGGTTTTCTGTGGATACCAACTGAACATCAGTTCTGATTTAGTTCAGACCTCCCAGGCTAGGGATCATTCCCACAAGACTAACCCCCTCCCTCAGAGTACAGTCAGAAGTCCCAGGCCTTCACTTCACCAACTCGGCTGTCAACTGATGAGTCTCACAATACCCTGCTCTACTTTAATAATTTGAACAGGGGCTTGTAGCACTGAAGAAACACTTTACTTACTCTTTCAGGCCTTTTTTTTTTTTAAGGCTCATTTTAAAGAGCCAGGCGGAGGAGTTCAAGGGGTTCCTTGATGAATGAAGGAGGTTCTGCACTGAGAGTTTTGGGGGTTAGTCTCAGCATGTAGATGTGTTCACCAACCAGTAAATTCTCTGAACATCATTATTTAGGGAACACGTGGAGATCTCATTACAAGGACACTGATGATTAAACTGCTGACCATTGATGAGATTTTGAGATATGTGTCTTATTTTTTTGAAACAATGTTTTGATTTACATTATGGTCAAAGGCTTATTGTTTCACTAAATTTTAAAAATTGTCACTTGTAATAAGCTTGGCTTCCTACCCTGCTCTACTCCTTGGAATAAAAGTTCCTACCCTTTAATTGGATTTTGTGGTGTCTAATCCATCCTGAAACTGACTAGGGACCCCAGTTTCCAATTTTTTCATTAGCATACAGGAGACTTCTCACTCTGGATATTCAAAAGCTCTTAGAAGTTCTTGTGTCAGAAGGCTGGGGCTAAGACCAAATGTAATAGAAAACATCCTTGCTACCCCTTCACTCAGGAGAATATCATAGATTTAGGAAACTTGTGTTGGGAATTGGGGCAGAAACCCAATATATATTTCTTATAGTGTTACATGTGTCAAAACTAGAAAATGATAAAATGTTTTGATTGGCATCACCATTTCACAGTATAAATCTTTCAAAAATTTGCTAAGCACTAATGAAGTACTTATTAGATTATATTTAATCCTGTTGAATATTGCAACAAATTATAATTTTGTCTTGCTGTCATAATTTAGAGCCTTAAATCTTTGAAAAGACTTAAAAACTTTCTGTGAAGAAGCATTTGCTGTTCAAAGGTATTCTGACTTTTAATACCTCAAGTATACTTTAGAAGCAGATTCTAGTCTCCCTTTCACAGTATCCTTAGAATTGTAGAAGACAGAAAAGCTTTTTTCTGTCCTTTGGCTGGGGTTAGGAGCCGTGAATTAACCTGACAAAAGAAAGATTAACAACAAGAAAGATCAGTTTTGTTGCAAATATGGTTTTGTAAAACTTGGTTTTGTACCTTTGTCAAAACAATGGTTATGCTACCACAGATTTGATGATCTGTGATTACTTTAAAATTTCCTATGTATAGGTGAAATGGTCATTTTTATACAAATATCAGTTTATTAACTTAATTTTATATACATGGGAGCTACACAGCAGTTAATACCCCAAGTAGCATTGTGAAATGTGAGAACTTGTTAGCACATCTTTATAGAAGGCACAAGTCAGATGGTGGCTTCTGGAAACACTAATGACTTCTGAGAAATAAATGGACCCTGAGGAGCACAGATGGGAGATAGGACAGTTCAGTGACATGTTTTTATGCTGCCAGCTTCCTGTGCTCTCCTGTGACAGGAGTCATCCCCCTTGGTTGATGAAATTCCCTAAGGGGAGGAGAGTTACGGCAATTTGGCTCTTTTTTGGGGGAGGATTTTGTTTTAGACCAATAAAGGATGTTCAGAGAAAGTTTTTTCTTTGTTTGTTGATTCTCAAGTGTATTCAGCTCAGAATAACCCTTATACTACGGTGGCACATTCTGAACCTGAGCAGAATCAGCACACCCTTAAGGGACTGCAAGAAAGGAGGCTTTTAAATAGGAGAGTTGGTTTAAACAAAACAAATCATGCTAAAAGGTGTCTTGGAGGTTACTCCTTCTGAGACAATTTATTTCTTATTAAGAGTAAGTTGAGTTTTGAAACTTTTAAATCAGTAGTTTTGTCAATAGAAATATATAGTATTAAAAATTTTATTTTTTTATGAAGTTTATGTGAAATGTAACAGATTTATCAACATAAAAATATATACTAGTCTTACAGATATTTAAAATAGTTGGAGGATTATAAAATTGGCATTGTGGGCAAATCTGAGTATACAGATTAAAAATTTCTAATCATTAAGTTTTATGGTAGCGTTTATTCTAAAAAAAAAAAATATTGAGACTGAGTAAAACAAAAGGAATTAGTGTTGAGATTAGGAGAAGACATCTGGATTCAGCCTGGATTTCTCAAGCTGTGATTGAAGCATTAATTGCTTTTATCATCCTTGCTTATGTTTAAATGTTTGCTGTATCCCGATTCAAAAGATTGAATATTATTTTATTGAAAGGAATTATTTCCCATCATCACTTTTCTAGTGGTTACTTTTACATATGGCTATTTTTCACAAATCTTGTTTCTTTTCTAATGTTTTTAAAAAGATTTTTTGTGCTAAGAGTTAAGAGGAAGACAGAGAGAGAGCTTCTGTGCGTCTCCTGGTTCATTCCCCAGATGATCACAATGGCCAGGGCTGAGCCTGCTCCATGTGGGTAGCAGGCGCCAGACACTTGAGCTGTCTTTCACTGCTTTTCCCAGGGAGCTGGGTTGAAAATGGAACAGCCAGATATGAACTGGCTCCCACATACGATGCTGCTGTGACAGCAGCATTACTGGCTACACCACAATGCCAGCCTCACTAAATCTTATTTTTCACTACTGTGGACATTTTTTCTTTGTTTATGTTAATATAGATTTATATGATTCATTCAAACAGATTAGCTAGGAAAAAAGTATCAAAACTTAATTTTCTAAAAGTTATTGCAACGCTCTTCAGCTATCACATTTTAACCTTCCTTTAACTGGATAATTAAAGAGGAATATTTGCTTACCTGTTACTAAGAAAGCTTTGGCTTGTAACTTAAAATATAGCCTTTTATTTGGCTGATCATGTTGTTATCTTTAACAAGATAACCTAGTCTGCACTAAGGGACTTTGCTGGACTAAAGGCAGGCTCTAAAATCTTTTCTTTCGTCATCTGAGCAGGAATCATGCTAAGTTAAACAGCCTCCCTACTACCTCCTCCATGTGTGATCCATTAGTTCCTTCCCAAATGCAGCCAGAGCTTCGCTGGTCAAAAGCCAGGTGCCTGAGTCTCCCACGTGGTTGGAGGTGCCTAAGCACCTCGGCCATCCTCTGCTGCCCTCTGAGGCACATTAGGAGGGAGCTGGATAGGAAACTGAGAGGCTGGGATTCAGGCCTGTGCCCATGTGGGATGCTGGTGCCGAGGCAGCATTTCATCCACTAGGCCACATAGATGACCTCCCTCTTCCCACCCCTGTATCTGATCACCTTCAGTATGTGAGTGGATTGCTGATCATCCTCAAGGTTGTCTAATTATCCTGGCCCGTCTTCTGCAACAATCCTGTCATATCGGCTTAGCCAAAATTCCTGTTACCTGATACTGATCATTTTTATCTACTGACACCTCACCCTGTTTATTGGCTATAAATTCTCACCTGTGCATGCTTTATTCAAAATTCAGTGCAACCTCCCTACTTCACAGAAAAATCCCATTGCAGTGGTCATGAACAAACTACCTTATTGTACTTCAACAATTTAATTTTCTTTTAACAGCAATAGTATACGGCAAGATTAGAATCACAGTTTTGTTTTTTCTCAACATCCCTCAATACATTAGACAAAGTCAACACATTAAGAAAACTCAGGGATTTTGAATTTTTACTTTTTCAAAAATTATGTTTCAAAAGTAAACGGAAGCAGAAACAGATAGAGGTCTTCATCCATTAGTTCAAAGACAGAGTTCTTCGAGCATCGTTGCCTTCCAGCTTGCATATTAGGAGGAAGCTGGATCAGGAGTGCAAGAGTCCAGAGCTTGAAGCAGGCACTCTGACACAGAACGCAGGTATCCTACACAGTGATACAAATACCCACCCAAGAAAATGCATTTTTTTGTTAGATTTATTTATTATTTGAAAGGCAGAGTTACAGAGAGAGAGAGAAAGGTTTTACACCCACTGGTTTACTTCGCAGATGGCTAAAAAGCCCAGGGCTGTGCCAAGCTAAAGCCAGGAGCCAGAAACTCCACCTGGCCTCACACATGGGTGGTAGGGGTCCAAGTGGGCATCTTCTACTCCTTCCACATACACGTTAGTAGGGAGCAGGACGGGAAGTAGCACAGCCGTGAAATACCTGGCACTCAAATGGGATGGTGATATGGCAGATGGGTGGCTTAACCTTGTTGCTCACATTTTTATTCCTTTTGCGTAGGTCATACACCTGTGATTCATAATGAAAAGAAAAACGAACAGCAAACCTTTCCTTCTTCGTCCTACGGAAACTCCTTTCCAGAAGACTCTACAGTTCTGTATGTATATCAAACAATCTGATTTTAGAGTAAATAGAATATAACAGATTCTTCCTCAATGAAGTTTTTTTTTTAAGTTTTTTATTTTAAGATTTATCTATTTTATTGGAAAGTCAGGTTTACAAAGAGACAGAGAAAGATCTTTTATGTGCTGGTTCACTCCCCAAGTAGCTGCAGTGACCTGGGCTGTACTGATCCAAAGCCAGGAGCCAGGAGCTTCTTTGGGGTCTCCTGCACGGGTGCTGGGTACCAAGACTTTGACCTGTCCACAGCTGCTTTCCTAGGCCACAAGCAGGGAGCAGGAAGAAAAGTAGAGCAGCTGGGATATGAATGAGTGCCCATGTGGAATCCTGACAGGTGCAAGGCAAGGACTTTAGCCACTAGGCTACTGCACTGGACCCTCATTTTAAAAGTTGTAAATTCAGTATTTTATATAGATGAAACTTTGAGTCCCTTTACAGGTTATTGATTTGTTAATATTCCAAGGGAATCAAGCTTGCTTTTTAATTTAGTTTAAATTTCTTCCTGTATATTATTGATATACTGAAATCTACCAAGTTGTCTTGAGTTTTTTTCCAGTAACATTATTTGGAGGACTCAGTGGGTCAATACCTCAGTATTACTTCATTTTTAAAATGCTTAGCAATTTTAAAATAGTGTTACAGGGACTGTGGGTGGGGGCTAACCTGTGGTGTAGCAGCTAAGGCTGTCACCTGCGTCCCCTATGGACATTGGTTCCAGACTGGCTGTTCTACTTCCAGTCTATCTCCCTGCTAATGTGCCTGGGAAACCAGCAGAAGATAGCCCAATTGATTGGGCATGAGATCCTGCAAGAAGACCTAGATTCCTGTCTTCAGCATAGCCCATTTCTAGCCATTGTAGCCATCTGGGAATTGAACTGCAGGTTGATGATCTCTCCCTCTGTCTTATCTCTCCCTCTCTGTAACTCTACCTTTCAAATAAAAATATAAATCTTTATAAAAGCAAAGAGAATATGGGAATATTACAGGCTTAATTTTTTTCTGGCCTTCTCTTTCTCCTTTTATTAATTTGTCTGTGCAAAGGCTCACAGTATGAAAGAGAACTGTCCCAGAAACCCTTGAGACTCTGGCATTTAGACTTTTTTTCTTTTAGTATTATTATCATTTTCCATGATACAGTTTTGTAGTATACAGACTTCTCCCTCTGCTCCAACTTTCACTTTCCCTTCTCTCCACTCGTACTTCCTTTTTCTCCATTTTCTCCTCTCCCTATTTTCTCTCATGTTATTAAAATAATATAGTCCTTTAGTAGCAATTACAGGTTTTAACATTTGGCTATTTAAGAGTATCATGACATTGTAGGTTTAGGGAAAGGTAGGAAATCCAATATGATATTGTCAAGGTATATTTAACTGATTCATTGAGAGTCCTTTTTTTTTTTAAGATTTATTATTTTCATTGAAAGGTGGATTTATAGAGAAGGAGAGAGAGAAAATATCTTCCATTCACTGGTTAACTCCCCAAATGGCCACATCAGCTGGAGAAGAGCTGATCTGATGCAGGAGCTTCTTCTGGGTCTCCCAAGCGGGGGCAGGGTTCCAAGGCTTTGAGCTGTCCTCTTCTGCTTTCTCAGGCCACAAGCAGGGAGCGGGGTGGGAAGTAGAGCAGCCAGGACTAGAACGGGTGCTCATAAGGGATCCCAGTGCTTGGAGGTAGAGGATTAGCCAGTTGAACCATTGAACTGATCCTGAGAGTCCTCCTTTAATTCAGGAGCAGAGATGCATACCGTAGTGTATCTTCATTTCCTTGTATGCTAGTCTCAATTATATAGTTCATCACTGAGACTATAGATATACACTTGTTTCCCCATATAGCTGTTTGTTTTGTATTTTGCATGACGGTTGTCTTAACAGAGAGAACATATAATATTTGTCCTTTGGGACTGGCTTATTTCAGTGAGCATAATAGTCTCCAATTGGGACCATTTTGTTGCAAATAGTAGAATTTATTTTAGTGGCTGTGTAGTATTCCGTGGAGTAGATGTACCACAGTTTCTTTATCTGTTCCTGTTTTGACATGCCGTTCTGGGTTGTTTAAGTCTTTGCTATTGTAGATTGTTCTGCTGTATATATAGGGTTGCAGGTCGCTTTCTCATATGCACATTTCACTTTATTTTGATATGTTTCAAGTACTGGAATAACTGGGTCATTTGGTGGATCAATTTTCAGTTGCCTAGCACTTTCCATACTGACTTCCATAATGGCTGCGCTAGTCTACACGCCCATCTTTTCCTGTGGAAGATTCTTGTAACTCTCAGGGGGACAGAGGAAGGTTTAATACTATAAACTGCTTGAAATAAATAGTATGAGAAAAAGAAGGTTGAGCTACCTGTTGTCCGTCAACAGAGATTGACTAGAACATTGACTATTCTGGTGTTATTTCTTGGGCAAGCATCATAGGAAGAGGCTGCAGCCTTAGCTTTTGCCAGAAACCATGCCAGGGCTCAAAATGCTAAGTTTTGTAGGTCTCTTATCCATATGCAGATTCATTGTAGTCTCTTTTTTAATGAGAAAAATACAGTGTAAGTATTAAGGTTTTTTTTTTTAAGTGCATAGTCCTTTTGACCTATCACTGCTTAAAGCTGTGTATCCCAAGGTAATAATCAGGAATTTGGACGATTTATATAAAACTGCTCATCAAAGTATTAACACAATTGGAAATTAATATTTTCAACATTGAAAGATTTATTAAAAAAACTTTAGTATATCTTTTCAAGTGATTCTCAAAATTTAGACACATCAAGATCTACTTGGTTTCTAAACAACATTAAAAATAAAATTTTATTGCACACTATAATAAAAGATCCACTTGGTGAAGCTGAAAATGCAGTTGGTACAGCTGTGGAAAGCAGGCAGCATAAAGGAGTGTTGATTTTTGGCTATCCTTTACTGTTAGTTTTTGCTGTTGTTTTGTTTTGCTTTTTGTATTTTTAATCCTTACTGTATTTATTAAACATTTATTTGGAAGGCAGAGTGTAGAGGCATAGAGCTCCCATCCACTAGTTTACTCCCCAAATGGCTACAGTAGCTGGGGTTAGTCCAGCCAAGACCAGTTGCTTGGACATCCGTGTTGGTTTCCCATGTGGGTTTCAGGAACTCAAATTCTTGGCCTATAATCCACTATTTCCCAGGCACATTTGTAGTAAGTTAGAATGGAAGCAAAATAACCTTAAACAACATTTCAATATAACATGTTATTGTCTTAAGTGGCTGCTTAATCTTGTGTGTCACAACTACCCTGTAACCATTGCTGCATTTATGTAAGCAAAAAGCTTGAAATAAATATGCCGGAAATAACTCTTAGTGAGTGCATATTCTAAATGAAATCTGTATTTGCTAAATTAAATGCCTAGCTAACTATCTATGTCATGGCTTCCTAGAGTGTTCCAAGTCAAGTGTCACCTTTATATGGCTGTAGAGCATACTAAAACATTTTCCTAAGCATCTTTCTGGCGGGCCTGGTATGGTACCATAGTAGTTAGAGTCCTTTCCTTGCATGCGCCAGGATCCCATATGGGCTCCAGTTCATGTCCCAGCAGCTGCACTTCCCTTCTAGCTCCCTGCTTGTGGCCTGGAAAAGCAGTTGAGGACAGCCCAGGACCTTGGAATCCTGCACATATGTGGGAGACCCGGAGGAATCTCCTGACTCCTGGTTTCTGGTTGGCTCAGCTCTGGCTGGTAGGGAGTGAACCAGTGGATGTAATATCTTAAAAAAAAATCTGGCTGGGTTACTTTAGTGTTGCTTTAGGAAAAGACAGTAAGAATTAATAAAGTGTATAGTGTTTTTGAAAGTGGGGAATTGAGGGGCTGGCATTATAATATAGTAGGAAAAGCATCTCATAGGGGCACCAGTTTGAGCCCAGCTGTTTGACTTGCGATTCAGCTTTCTGCTAATGGCCGGGAAAGCAGCAGAAGATGGCACTAGTGCTTAGGGCCCTGTGTCCATATGGGAGGCCCAGAGGAAGCTCCTGGCTCCTGACTTTGGTCTGATGCTATCCTGGCCACTGTGGGCCTTTAGAGAGTGAACCAGTGGATGGAAGTACTATCTGTGTCTCTCTCTGTCTCCCTCTCTTCCTCTCACTCTCCAACTCTGCCTTTTAGAAAACAAACAAAAAAAAGTGGAGAATTTAATATAATCTTTGAGATACTAATAAATAATTCATTTTAATAGATCTACAGAGAACAAAGAAATTCTTCCTCTGGAAAATAAAATTGTGAACTTGAATACAAGAACACCGTCTTTGAATTTGTCTTACCAAAGTCATCATTGCTCTGGTGCCTGTCTGATGAAAATGTCAACCTTCAAGGGGGGAAACCCTCTGCAGCTCCCAATCAAATGTCACTTCCAAAGGTTCCATGCGAAGACAAACTCGCGTTCAGCAGTACTCCACGTGAGTTACAAAGCTCCTTGTGGAAGGAGTCTGCGAAACATGGAGGAAGTTTATCGTTACCTGCTTGAGACAGAGTGTAACTTTTTATTTCCAGATAACTTTTCTTTCAATACCTATGTTCAGTTGACTCGGAATTACCCAAAGCAAGAAGCAATTGTGTCTGATGTGGATATTAGCAATGGAGTGGAGTCAGTACCCATTTCTTTCTGTAACGAAATTGACAGTAGAAAGCTTCCACAGTTTAAGTACAGAAAGACTATGTGGCCACGAACTTATTATCTGAACAGCTTTTCCAACATGTTTACTGATGCATGTGACTGTTCTGAGGGCTGCATAGACATGTGAGTAGAAAAATGTGACATTTGAAAAAATCTTCTGAATATAGGGATATGTTTTAACAAGTCTTGTGTATTAGTCTGTCTGTCTGTCTGTCTAAAACCTGTACACTAAGAATCTGAAAAATGGGAACTAGGCATTTGGTACTGCTGTTAAGGCACTGCTTGGGACACCTACATTCCACATGAGAGTGACGGGGTTCAAGTTCCAGCGCCTCTTCTGAGTCTGCTTTCTAAGGTGTACCATAGAAGGTAGCAATGATGGTCCCAATCTCCCATATGAGGAACTTGAATTGAGTCTGTCCAGCTCCTAGCTTTCGACTGGCTTCAGCTGCTGAGAGCATTTAGGAAAGATAGATTGATCAGTCTCATGGATCCCTGGCTTTCAAGTAAGTGGAGATTTTAAGAAGAGTGTTGAGAATTATAGCATAATGGGTTAAGCTGCCAGTTGTTATCAAGTCCTGCTTCTTCCTCTAATCTAGCTTTCTACTGATGTACCCAAGTAGGCATCAGATGGTTCTTACCACGCACATGGGAGACCTAGCAAGAATTTCTGACTCCTGGCTTCAGGCTGGCCCAGCTATGGCTGTAGCAGGCATTTGGGAAGTGAAAAAGTGCATGGCAGATCTCTTTGTCCCTTCTATCACTCTTTATTCCAAATAAAAAATCTTTAAAAATTGTAAATGGAGGGATGTACTCTATTAATCTGAAGAGGTGTTAGAAAGTTATATGAAAATTGTTTCTCCAAAGATGAATTTCATGTGTCATCTGGTACCATAACCATAATACATTATAAGAAATATCATTAATAATGCCAGTTACTGTCAAGCATTTTACTTACATTTCCTTATTTAATCTTCAGAAAAACTCCATAGCTTGGTAATACAGATGAGTAAACAGTCTCAGATAAGGCACTTTAACGATCACCTTGAAGAAAATGATAGAGCTACTGTTTAAACCTATAGTCCTAACTGCTATTTTACTTGTGGTGTATTATTTTACAAATAACTTAAAAGTAATATTTTGGCTAATTTTTAGAAACTCAGTGGTGCTTCTAAATTGATGCTCTCTTGATCACAGTATTGACATTGTATGCAAAGATGAAAAAAATGTTCTGGTTTGACCTTGAAAAACATTTTGTGTAAAAGTATACTACATTATCTGCATGTGTTTGTAGGAATTCTGATAGAGTGCAAATTGCATTACGTGTACATTGACTTGGGGGGAGTCAAGTTGGCAGAATAGGGTAAGGACACCTTTAAACAGATGGAGAGATATTAGCCAGTGTAAAGCAGAAAGGGCACAGTCCAGGAAATAGGAAAGGACAGAACACAGCAGAAGAACACCTGGAGACTGACAGACACAGGAAAGCAGTGGACACAACCATGTGGTGTTGCAGTGACTGATACCCCAGTGGCATTCAGCAAACGGTGATCTGATTTGTATCAGCTGCCAGAACTCTACCAGCAACAAGGTGGGAAGGGACTTTCACTGGGAGCTCAGGAGGTGAACCCAGACAAAAAATGGCCCATCCTGCTGGTCTGTTTGATTTGACCAGCAGCAGAGAGAGTGGCAGATCCCAGACAGGCAGTGTGGGAAAAGGGTAGATTTTACAACCCAGTCCACCTCCTAGAACCAAATCAGGTACCATTTTGTTTAAGGGGCAAAGACTATGGGATGGGATAGGACTGCATATGCACTGAGCTGGGAATGAACTCATTTCTGGCTCAGAGAACTGCAACATGGCATCCTACAGGTTCCACCCAAGACAGGTCTGGGTAGCCCTCAGATCTGGGTAGGCCAGCAGATCAAGAACTCTAAGAGTGGCACATCAGGCACCATTTCGTACAGTGTGGCAAGGAATTTAAGACTGCAGGGACAACAGTGAGCTGCACTGAAATGTGCTGAGCTTGGCGAAAACTCACTGAGCTCAGTGCATTGGACTGGTCCCACAGGAAAATAATACCGACTTTGGCATCTGACAACTCAAAATAGGTCCGTAGGTCCGTGTGGCCCTCAGACCTAATGACCGACAGGTTCCACCAAGATCAGCACCAACAACAACCTAGCTATAGAGGACACCTGGTGTCTCCCTAATCCTAGGACCTGCTCCAACCGGAAGTGGGAGAAAGGTTGTACAGACAGTGGTGGAGATCTAACATAAGAACCCAGACCTGGAATTTGCTGGAGGGAGTGGCACAAGTGACTACAAACAAAGAGCAGTGTACCAACTGCAGTAAGCAAACTCAAACTGTAGACCTGTGGGTGACACAACTTAGAAACCTGTGCCCCAAGGAAAAGAATCTGGTAACCAGAAGTACAATGACCAAGAGCAAAAGCGGAAAAGGCACAATAAATATATCTGAAGACTCCCCTGCAAAGGATCAAAAGCCTTTGCCAACCTCATAGTTAACTGAGGAAGAAAATAGGGAATACAGAATTCAGAAAACTCATTATAAATCTTCTAATCAACAATGAGAAAGAAGCACATGAAGCAGACATGTACATTGACTTGACTACAAATGTAGCTACCTCTACTGGACTAAAGGGAAAGATGAGAAGAGGAATAATTTAAATGTAGACTCCCCCCCCCCTTATCCAAGAATGTATGTATTAAAACCTCCATTGTATGCCTGAAATAGCATATATTACCAAACCCTATATATATATATATATTCCATTTTAATAAGTCTTTTCTTATTCTGTGTTTATCTCGGTGACCTACTACAAGAGTGTAGATAACAATGTCCACCATCCTCTCAGTTGGCATGTGAAAGAATTGTAAATCTGCATCACTTTAGTTTGGCTCCATTCTTTTAGGCTCCTCATAGAACAAACTTATCGCTGTCCTAAGTCTTAATGTGAGTTTTAAGTATTTTATTTTTTAATCATTGGCTGCAACTATAACTCAGATATTTCGTCTGGGAAGTTAGCTCTCTTGGGGGATAAAAACTAGTACCTGCACCGAACTGGGAGTTTGGCTAGTAATTCACTGGACCTGGTTATCATTAGCAAACCGCATGGTCACAGCCACAGCCTGGGTAAAGCACTCAATCTAGAGGAACACTGAGGAATGACCTCTACAGAAGGGGTTTGTACTGCACACAAACGTCTACAGTACACATATCTGCTTAGCACCACCAAGGCAGCTAAAGTCCTGTCAAGTTCCAAAAGGTTCAGACACAGGAATAGAATTCGATTTAAAGGGATTTTTAAATGGGAATATTTAAAATGTCCAGAGAGATGCAATAAGGAAAAGTTACAGAGGGGGAGTGCTGTGGCATATTCAGTTAAGCTGCTGCCTGCAGTGCTACCCTCCAATATGGGTTCTGATCACATCCTGGGTCTTCTACTTCCAGTGCAGCTCCCTGCTAATGGCTGGGAAAGCAGCAGATGATGACCCAATTTTTGGCTTCTATACCCAGGGATACCTGAAAAAAGCTCCAGGCTCCTGATTTGAAGCCATTTAGAGAACATGTCAGTGGGTAGAAGACTTCTCTCTTTCTCTGCCTCTCCCCCCCTCTCTGTAACTCTGACTTTTAAAATAAAATAAATAAATAAATAAATAAAACCTTTTTTTAAAAGATTATAAAAGACAGTTGATATATATAAAAAGGAACCATTTGGTTCCTTTGAGATAAAACCATTGAGATAAAAATTAACCATTTGGCTATACAATAAAATAATCATTGAGATAAAAATTAAGCAGATGGACTGATAGACTAGCTGACAAAAGCTAGTAAATTGTAAGTCAAAAGCAATAAGATCTCTCAGAAAGCAAATGTGTCAAGACATAGGGGAAAATAGCTTCCAGATTTTTTAATAAATGGAATCTAAAATGAGAAAATATTCATACATAAAATGAGAGAAAAAATGGGAAGGATGTTTTACTAAGAAAATTACTGAGATTTTCCAGAGTGATGAGATTAAAAGAGCCAGACTCTGCACAGTATACTAGCAGGTCAAGTCCTCACCTTGTACACATTAAGATCCCGTATGGGCACCTGTTCGTGTCTTGGTGGCCCCACTTCCCATCTAGCTCCCTGCTTGTGCTCTGGGAAAGCAGTGGGGGATGGCCCGTAGCCTTGGGACCCTGCTAAGGTCCCGAGAGGCACCATCTGGCTCAAGATTGGCTCAACTCTGGCCATTGAGCTCACTTGGGGGGTGACTCATCGAACGGAAGATCTTCTCTGTCCTCCTCTCTGTAAATTTGACTTTCCAATAAAAATAAATGTTTAAAAAAAAATTAGGGCCCGGCAGCCTGGCCTAGTGGCTAAAGTCCTTACCTTAAACTTGCCCGGGATCCCAAATGGGCACTGGTTCTAATCCTGGCAGCTCAACTTCCCATCCAGCTCCCTGCTTGTGGCCTGGGAAAGCAGTTGAGGACAGCCCAAAGCTTTGGGACCCTGCACCCGTGTGGGAGACTCGGAAGAAGTTCCTGGATCCTGGCTTCGGATTGGCATAGCACCGGCCGTTGTGCTCACTTGGGGAGTGAATCATCGGACAGAAGATCTTCCTCCCTGTCTCCTCCTATCTGTATATCTGACTTTGCAATAAGAATAAGTCTTTTTAAAAAAATTAAAAGAGCCTACTGTGTAGGAAAAGAAATATCTACATGTAAATATGTTATGCATTATGCAACTTTAAAAATATTTATACACCTACACAGAGGCACCTATATATGTACCTAACCCAGGTCATGAGAATGGTGTGCTTCTTACTATGTGTCATAGTCAAAAACATGGTACTACATTAGAGAGGCTTACGATATATAAGGATAGATTTAGGATGTTTATTGCAACGATGCTTAGTATATTGAAAAATGTAGATAATGCAATTGTATGTCAGGAAGGCAGTAGTTAAACACTATAGAAAACTTGGGATTAGCCAGGCCTATAGATAGCACAGGTGGTTTCAAAACATATTAAACTGATAAAGTTGTACAATAACAAATTATAATAATTTTTTAAATTTACTTCAGAGGCAGAAAATTTCCATTAGCTCAGTCCAGCTCTCCCCATAAGTGGCAGTAGCCCAGATATTTGAACCATCACCTGTTAACCTCCAAGGAACTGCATTAGCAAGAGACAGGAGACAGGTCCCAAAGCCAGGTAAGTACCCAGGTACTCTAATGTGGGATGCATTGTCTGAACTGCGAGGCTAAATGCCTGCCCCAGCAAAAAAAAAAAAAAAAATTTTGACATTTAAGAGAATGTATTGATTGTAAATATGTGTGTGTATAAATGAATGTAAAAGGGATACCACTGAAATTCTTTTTTATTTACTTGGAAGGCAAAGTTACAAATGAGGGAAAGACAGATAGATGGGTCTTCCACCCATTGGTTCTCTTCAGAAGTCCACAAGAGCCATGGTCAGACCAGGCTGAAGCTAAGAGCCAGGAGCATCTCTGGTTCTCCCGTGTGGGACTTGGGGGCTGTCTTCTGTTGCTTCCTCAGGCACATTTTCAGGGAGTTGGGTTACAAGTGGAACAGCTGTACTTGAACTGGCATATTAAAGATTTAATTATTTCTTTGAAAGTCAGAGTTTAAAAGAGAGAGAGAAACAGAATGGTATCTTCTATCTGCTGCTTCATTCCCTAAATGGTCACCATGGCCAGGGTGTGAGTGGCAGGGAACCAGGTACCCTTATTGCTTTGCTGAAGTAGAGCATCTGGAACTCATAGGATGCTAGTGGCATAGGCCGTAGCTGAAGATGCTGCACCATAATGTCCCTTGTAATGCTTTGCTTAAAAAAAATTTTTTTAAAACATGTATAAAGTGTCCTTGCATAATATATAAGCAAAAAGCAGGACAAAATACTGAGAACTAGTTTTGGAGATGGTAATATGATATATATTATTATTCTGTACTTCTTAAACTTCGCAAATGAAATTATATGGGAATCAGCTGTGCATTTTTAATTATACATCTGTGAACCAAATGCAAATTAATGAATTTGCTCAGTTTTTTTTTCTATTGCAAGCAACAGCCACCACTGACATGTATTGTGTATTCCCCCAAAATACTGGCAATTATCATAGAGGAAAAAACCTTAAAGTTACTTGTTCTACTAGGAGACTAAACCCAAGTGTTGCAACCAGGTTATCAGTAGTCATATGGCTAATTATAGTTGGGATGTCCAGGCTCCTTATTCCCTGTGGAGTTAAAGGGGAAAGTATGTAGATTAGATTTCGTAGTTATAATATTCCTATCTGGGAGCAATGTGAGAAAAGATTTCTAGTAGTGGGAAGGCCAGCATCAGTGTCCCCATTTTATGTTGCTGGAGTGAGAGAGAACTTCAGACATCCACGCCACTGTGCTTTGTGTGATGACCACACAGTTTATCCACAGTGGGAGAGCAGAGGGAACAGAATGTTACCAAAGAAGCTTGGACTGAAAAGAAGCAAAAATCATTCTGAAAACTTACAGGAAGCTAATATAGTTAAATATTTCTTTATTTCGTGAGAAAATAAATACTTGATAATTACTAACAATCATTTGATAATTGTCTTTGAAAGTGGTCCATTCTGTTTAGGAAAGAAGTTTATTGTGTCTGTGAAGTTCAAACAACTTCTAAGTACAGTTACGTCCTCTGTTGAATCAGGTACATGTTTTTTTTTCACTTGGTTTTTTTAAATTGACTTTTCTGTCCATTGTTTTCCTTTTAGAACAAAATGTGCTTGTCTTCAGCTGACAGCAAGAAATGCTAAAATTTGTCATTTGTCAACTAATCAAATAGTGACTGGATATAAATATAAAAGACTACAGAGACAAGTACCTACTGGGTAAGATACCTTGAGGACTTGTTAGAGGGTGTTTGTATTTTTTAGAAGGATGCTTTCCTATTGTGGTCCACAGTTCTATAGATGCTGTTAAATCTTGGTTTCTATGAATAAAATCCAACTTACCAAGGAATTAGTAAAGCATGTTGTTCATGGAAGTGGGAATCGGGACCTTACGGAGTTGGTAGAGTGCACCTGAACACTCCCCTCTCCCGAGGCTGGCTCTTCCTCCATTTTAAGCCTACTTTGGACAGCAGCGGGTAAATGTGGGAACTCTGATAGGAACGCAGAAAGACTGGCACCAAGAGCTTGCCCGCTCAGTCTTGTGTCTCTCATCAGTGCATTTCAAGTAGCAAAATAAACTGCCTTTTACTTTTTTAGACTATCTGTATTTCTCTTCTGCATTTTATTGACAGCATTTATGAATGCAGCCTTCTGTGTAAGTGTAATCGACAGATGTGTCAAAACCGAGTTGTCCAGCATGGTCCTCAACTACGACTGCAGGTTTACAAAACAGAGAAGAAAGGATGGGGTGTCCGCTGCCTAGATGACATTGACAGAGGAACATTTGTTTGCATTTACTCAGGTAAAGCAGAGACTTGTTTTTGTATAATTTCTGTAGTAGGATATGTATTTCTGATATTCATTTTCCTAATCAGGGCCACTGAGATCGTATAGTTGGATGGTATGTTGGATGTACAAGTGGGAACTTAAACACTGAAGGTATGAGATGCTCAGAAAGTACCAAATGTTCCAGAAAGGAAGTGCTTAAAGATAAAACTTAGGTTATAAAATGAGGACCTGTCATACAGGAAACAATTGTCTTTTTTTGTTTTTTTCTTTCTTGTTTCTCCTTCTGTTTCCTCCCTGGCTAAGAAGCTTTGGTATAAAAGAAGAAAGCTTTCTAATTTTTATTTTCTGATTGTTACAGTAGGGGAGACAGACAGAGCTCCTATCCCGTAGTTCACTATGCAAATGCCTGTAATGTCTGGGACTGTATAGGGTCAGAGCAAGGATGTGGGAACAGTCCAGGCCTCCCTCAAGGAGGCAGAAGTTCTGTCACTCCAGCCATCACTGATGCGTCCCAGGGTCTGCACTAGCAGGAAGCTAGAGTAGGCATCAAAGATGGGACTAATGTAAGTATTACAACATGGGAAATAGGCATCTTATCCACTAGGCCAGATAGTTGCTCCGAAGAAAACATTTCTTTTTTTTTTTTTTTTAAGATTTATTTATTATTTATAGGTAGTCAGATATACAGAGAGGAGGAGAGACAGAGAGGAAGATCTTCCGTCCAATCATTCACTCCCCAAGTGAGCACAATGGCTGATGCTATGCCGATCCGAAGCCAGGATCCAGGAACTTCTTCCAGGTCTCCCACACGGGTGCAGGGTCCCAAAGCATTGGGCCGTTCTCAACTGCTTTCCCAGGCCACAAGCAGGGAGCTGGATGGGAAGTTGAGCTGCCAGGATTAGAACCAGCGCCCATATGGGATCCCGGGCAAGTTCAAGACAAGGACCTTTGCCACTAGGCCACGCCGCTAGGCCCAAGAAAACATTGCTAAACCAAGAAAACTAAACACCTAACTTGCTAAAGTAAAGATTATCCAACAAAGACTCTTTTCACTGCTTTGAGCTTTTATAGAATTTATCATTAGTTTTTCATTTTATTGACTTTTTGTTATTATTGTTATCGTTTTGTGATACTATGTTCCAGCAGCCCTGGGATTTCTCTTACCCGCTCCCCAAATTCCCTACTCCTTCATTGAGTTCCCCTATATTATTACTCTGTAATATAGTTCTTCATAAATGATCATATGTCCATCAATGTGGGCATGGACAATGACAAAGACTCCAGCATCCTATTGTCAAAATAGAGTTAACAGTTTCATTGGGAGTCCATCGATGATCTGGAAGTAGAAATGCATAGTGCATTGTAGCCTCACATCTGGATATGATAGTCTCCATTCTACAGTTACTATACATCTTGATATGATAGTCTGTATTACACAGATACTATATGCAACCTTAAATGAAAAGATACAATACTTTCAACAACCTCATCGTGTTTGGAGAGGTGTGATTGGCAGCAATTTCAAAACTGGTGAACTATTGAAGCCACTTGAGTCAGTATCTCAGAGCATGCCCCACATGCGGGACTTGGGGTGGGTGGGAAACCGGGTGGGGCTTCTCCCTCAATATCCTCCTTTACCTCAGATACAAGAAGGAAACAATATGGAAATAATAGTCTCACCCACTTTCCTGTAGCCCTTGACCCTTTTTATCCAAATTAACTATGTAAAGATTGTCCAAAATAAATTAAAAACAAAATTAATAGTGAAAAAAAAATTTTAAACAAACAAACAAAAAAAAGATACAAAATGAACAACAGAAAAAAAAAACAGAAATTCACAACACCATGAAGTTAAATAATGACATGTTACTGGATATGATAGTCTCATTAAACAGTTACTGTACATCTCATTAAATGAAAAGATATAAAATAAAATCAACAATGGGAAGAAAAGATGAAATTAAAAATGCCATGAAGTTAAATAACATGCTACTAAATGACTCATGTGTCACTGAAGAAATGAAAAAGAAAATCAAGAACCTTTTTAAGAAAATGATGCTACTATATTATTTATGAGTCATTTAAGAATTTAATCAGTAGGTGTTTCGAAGAAATGAAACTAACATTAAAAAATCATAATGCATGAGATATAGCTTCTGCTGATTTTTGTTGGTGAGATATGTCTTCTGTAGGCAACAAATAGATGGGTTTTGTTTTATTAATCCAGCCTACTAATCTATGATTGGTTGATGAGTTAATCAATTTACATTCGGGGATCATATGAATGGGTGGTAATTTGGTCCTGTAATTTTAGCAATGGGTTGTTCATTGATTTAGTCTCCTTTTGTTAATTTACTGGGATGTTCTTCACATTTGCCTTTGGTTTTGGTGGGTACTATTCCTCTTCTCTATCAAGAGAACATCTTTAAATATTCTAATTAGGGCAGGTTGGGAAGAGGCCTATTCTTTTAACTTTTCTTTAGTATAGAAGAATTTTATTTCATTTTCAAAGACGGGAAAACTTTCCTGGGTACGTTATCCCGGGCCGACAATCTTTTGCTTTCTGAATCTGGAATATGTTGGTCAGTTCTCTTCGGGTCTGGAGAGTTTCCTGTGAGAGATCTCCTGTGAGTTTAATTGGCATTCCTTTATACATCAATTGATTTTTTTTTTAATGTGCACATTTAAGGATCTTTTCCTAATGTTAGATTGAAGAGAGCTTGATTATCATGTGTCTTGACACGTATTGCTTTTTTTTTTTATTTAAAGATTTATTTTTATTATTTTTTATTGGAAAGGTGGATATACAGAGAGGAAGATCTTCCGTCCGATGATTCACTCCCCAAGTGAGCGCAACGGGCCGATACTATGCCGATCCGAAGCCAGGAGCTTCTTCCAGGTCTCCCACGCGGGTGCAGGGTCCCAAAGCTTTGGGCCGTCCCCGACTGCTCTCCCAGGCCACAGGCAGGGAGCTGGAAGGGAAGCGGGGCTGCCGGGATTAGAACCAGTGCCCATATGGGATCCCGGGCGTGCAAGGCGAGGACCTTAACCACTTGCGCCACCGCACTGGGCCCGACACGTATTGCTTTTGTTCAAGCCTGTTCAGAGTTCTGTGCCATTCCTGGATGTTGTTTCCCAAATTTTTTCTAATTAGAAATTTTCTTTTATTATTTCATTGAAGACACCTTTAATCCCAGCTTTTGTTTCTGCACCTTCTGGGACTCCCATAATTCTTATATTTGGCCTTTAAATACTGTCTTAAATCTTGAGTACGTTTTTTCACATGACCCAGTTCTGCTTTCAGCTCTTTTATTGTTTCCCCTGGGTGACAGGAAATATCTTTCAATTCTGAGATTCTTTCTTCTGCTTGCTTCATTCTATTTTGATGACTCCCCACTGTACTTTTAAGCTGCTCCACTGTATTCTTCATTTCTGATATATCAGCTTTAATTTTATTCATTTCCAGTGTGACATATTCTTCAAATTCCTTAAACTCTTGTATTACATGCTTCTTGTTGTTGATCAGAAGATTTATAACGGTGTTTTGAATTCTGTATCCCCTATTTTTCTATGTAATTTTCAGTTAACTATGAGGTTAGCAAAGGCTTTTGCTCCTTTGCAGGGGAGTCTTCAGTAATATTCATTGTGCCTTTTCCTCTTGCTCTTGGTCATTGTACTTCTGGTTACCAGATTCTTTTCCTTGGGGCACAGGTTTCTAAGCTGTGTCACCCACAGGTCTACAGTTTGAGTTTGCTTACTGCAGTTGGTACACTGCTCTTTGTTTGTAGTCACTTGTGCCACTCCCTCCAGCAAATTCCAGGTCTGGGTTCTTATGTTAGATCTCCACCACTGTCTGTACAACCTTTCTCCCACTTCCGGTTGGAGCAGGTCCTAGGATTAGGGAGACACCAGGTGTCCTCTATAGCTAGGTTGTTGTTGGTGCTGATCTTGGTGGAACCTGTCGGTCATTAGGTCTGAGAGCCACACAGACCTACGGACCTATTTTGAGTTTTCAGATGCCAAAGTCGGTATTATTTTCCTGTGGGACCAGTCCAATGCACTGAGCTCAGTGAGTTTTCGCCAAGCTCAGCACATTTCAGTGCAGCTCACTGTTGTCCCTGCAGTCTTAAATTCCTTGCCACACTGTACGAAATGGTGCCTGATGTGCCACTCTTAGAGTTCTTGATCTGCTGGCCTACCCAGATCTGAGGGCTACCCAGACCTGTCTTGGGTGGAACCTGTAGGATGCCATGTTGCAGTTCTCTGAGCCAGAAATGAGTTCATTCCCAGCTCAGTGCATATGCAGTCCTATCCCATCCCATAGTCTTTGCCCCTTAAACAAAATGGTACCTGATTTGGTTCTAGGAGGTGGACTGGGTTGTAAAATCTACCCTTTTCCCACACTGCCTGTCTGGGATCTGCCACTCTCTCTGCTGCTGGTCAAATCAAACAGACCAGCAGGATGGGCCATTTTTTGTCTGGGTTCACCTCCTGAGCTCCCAGTGAAAGTCCCTTCCCACCTTGTTGCTGGTAGAGTTCTGGCAGCTGATACAAATCAGATCACCGTTTGCTGAATGCCACTGGGGTATCAGTCACTGCAACACCACATGGTTGTGTCCACTGCTTTCCTGTGTCTGTCAGTCTCCAGGTGTTCTTCTGCTGTGTTCTGTCCTTTCCTATTTCCTGGACTGTGCCCTTTCTGCTTTACACTGGCTAATATCTCTCCATCTGTTTAAAGGTGTCCATATTATACTATGCCATCTTAGTTCTCATTTATCATTAGTTTTGTAATTAACGTCTGCATATGATTATTTAAGCAGTTCATCTTAATGATGGGACTCCACAGGTATCCATTCTGAGGAGCACAGCTTCCCAAGTAGGGTTTTATAGTTGTGTAGTTCCTGATTCTTGCCATAATCCCCTAACCAAACATGCCAATCTCTGGTAGTCTCTTTCATTTACCCCCACATGTCTGGCCAAAGGTCTTCATTCTGGGGATCAGTGTTATGGCATAGAGGATTTTGCCACCAGCTATAGCCTGGCATCCCATATGAGCAGCTAGTTCAAATCCCAGTTGCTCCGCTCTGATCCAGCTCCCTACTGATAACCTGGGAAAAGCAGTGGAAGATGGCCCAAGTACTTGGACCACACTTCCCCTGAGGGAGACCTAGATGAATCTTCTGACTTCAGGCTTTGGCCTGGTATAGCCCTGGCCAATTCAGACTTTTATGTGGTGAACCAGTAATGGAAGATGCACTTTTTTTCACTGTCTCCTCTTTGAAACTCTGCCTTTTAAATAGAATAGACTTCTTTTTTTTAAAGATTTATTTTTTATTATTTTTGTATTGGAAAGGCGGATATACAGAGAGGAGAGACAGAGAGGAAGATCTTCCGTCCGATGATTCACTCCCCCAGTGAGCGCAACGGGCCGATACTATGCCGGTCCAAAGCCAGGAGCCTCTTCCGGGTCTCCCACGCGGGTGCAGGGTCCCAAAGCTTTGGGCCGTCCTCGACTGCTTTCCCAGGCCACAGGCAGGGAGCTGGAAGGGAAGCGGGGCTGCCGGGATTAGAACCGGCGCCCATATGGGATCCCGGGCGTGCAAGGTGAGGACCTTTAACCACTTGCGCCACCGCGCCGGGCCCAGAATAGACTTCGTAAAAAGCTCCTTTTCGCTGCTCAATATTACATGGAATGTTTTAGAAATACGATGTTAGAGTCAGTATGAAAGAAATATGGTGGGCTGTGCAATTCTCATTTCAGATCTGAGGTTCCCTTCAGGGAAGTTAAGCTCAGAAAGTTCTCAGAATACATAGTAGTTACACTTGGATCTGACCACACGGCACTTAAAGACCAACATACCAACATGCTGCCTCAACATTGACTTTATCTTCATTGCTAGAAAAGTCATCAATGAAATTTTCTTTTCTTGTAGACATGGTGAGAATATCTAGTTGTTGCCCATAGTGGTAGCTTAGTGGCTCAAGTCCTCATCTTACACGCACCAGGATGCCATAGGAGTACTGGTTCTGATCCCAGCAGCCGTGCTTCCCATCCAATTCCCTGCTTGTGACCTGGGTAAAGCAGTCAAGGATGGCCCAAAGCTTTGGGACCCTGCATCCGTGTGTGAGACCCAGACGCGGCTCCTGGCTCCTGGCTTCAGATCAGCACAGCTTCAGCCAGTGTGGCCACTTAGTGAATCATCAGTTTGAAGATCTTTCTGTCTCTTTTCCTCTCTATATATCTGCCTTTCCAACAAAAATAAATAGATCTTAAAATAAAAAAAGAATATCTAGCTGTAGTTCTGAGCTCACTAAAAAACAATACATAAACTTTAAATCTTTCTCAAAGCCTTTTTAACCACACACAAAAGCTCCAATTTTGAAACTTGAATTTTTCTAATTTTCTTGAATTCTTTATGATCCTACTTTTATGTTACTGTAACTAAATGTATGGCCTTTCATTTTATATCAAAACAAATGGTTCTTTTAGATACCCTCTTTTTTTTTTTCCTGCAAATTGGAAAATACGAACCCGTTATTGGCTTTCTACTAATGTTTTCTGGAGTGAGGAACTTAGTTCATTTATTCCAGAAATGGAAGTATCCAGCAGAATGCTGTTCAGTCATGGAGCATAAGTAGAAATTTGTAGCATATTAGTTTCTATCTCACTTAAACTCCTTATTTTTTAGGAAGACTGCTAAGCAGAGCTAACCCTGAGAAGCCTAATGCGGATAATGAAAATGAGAAAGAAGAGACTGTTATGAAAAGTATGTTATCAAAAAAGAGGAAAATAGAAGTTTCCTGTTCAGATTGTGAGGTTGAAGTTATTCCAACAGAACTGGAAGCACATCATAGAAGGGAGAATTGTTCACCTAAACTCAGTAAGACTCTCAGCGAGTCTGTTCTGTAAGTAAGATCTTTGGGGCTTTCCTGGTGTTAATTACGTTATCATTGATCAAAAATGGTTCTGACTTGTTTCTCACTTGCTTGCCTGCCTCCTCTTCCCGCTTTGTCCCACGTGAATCATCATGCTTCATGGTTGTAAATGCTTGGAGCACTTTGAAGCTATGACCAATGGCTTTTCTCAGTGTTCCCTTACTACAGCGTTACCTTGTATGACTTGAATTCTTTGTAAGTTTTACTGTTTTTTAAATTTTGTCATTATCGTTTGCATAGGTTGTCTTCATTTTTGACATATATTTCTTACATTTATTTCTAAAATAATAGATATTTATCTAATATTCACAGTCAATTAAAAAATTACTAGTGATGTACAACTTTACTTTTTTTCTCTTTTTCAGGGAAACAAAATGTAACATCATTTCAAGAATCAAGTACCATTCAGTTATCAAAAGCTCTAAATCTAAGATAGCCATTTTTCAACACGATGAGGAAAAGATGGTAAAAACTGGGAAATGAAATTGGGCTTAACTGAGAACATTTACTATTATCTCACCTATCTATCTTATAATTAGTTCAACATGTTAATATTACTTAATAGTCTGTAGGATTTCTTTTATTTTTTTCTAATAGCTGAATAGTTGGTAGACCATGTTTTACTTAGAATTGTCCATGGTGCTTGGTGTGTTTCCGCTACGGATGTATAAGAACGTGGGTAATGATTTTAGCATGTGTACCTTAGCCCAAGAGCTACCCAGTTCTGAGAGTTCTTGGGAGATGCTGCAGTATTTGAGAATTAATAATGATCTGTTAGAAAAGTGATCGATTAATATAGGTGAAGGGGAAGTGAAGGGATATAGGAGAGAGTAAAAGATATAGCTTGATGAAACAATCATCCACACAGCAGTATTTCCTGTGGTTGTTTCTGAGGGTATACTTTGCAGTCGGAACTGAGTAATAAGATACTAATAGGAATGGAGAAGGATACGGAAGTTACCAGGCAGATATAATGAAAACTCACAGAAAAGGTGGTTGATGAAAAACAAAAACCTGGCTCTTGGGGTCCTGCAAATAACCTATTAATAATAGTTTCCTCTCCAGTATCACCCAATTATGAAAGTATTGGTCTATGTGATTACATAGTCTGATATTTAAGCTCTAAATCGGCTTGCTAGCTGGGCACTATCTTCTTGCATGCAGTCTTGTCTGTAAGGTTATACTATCTGTCAGAGCCATGAAGATTCAATGAGGCAAGCATTTCAAACTTTACTCTGCATAATATTTGGCAGTCAATTAAGTGCCTATTAAATAATGATCATTATTTAAGGTTTTGGTTTTTTAACAATGACCATTGATCAGTTTAGGTGTGCTAAGCATATACTCCAGATCTCCCACACTTGTGCAGGGTTCCAAGGTTTTGGGCCATCCTTCACTGCTTTCCCAGGCCACAAGCAGGGCCACTGGGATTAGAACAGGCACCTACATGGGGTCCCGGCACGTTCAAGGCAGGGACTTTATCTGCTAGGCCACAGCACTGAGCCCACATATACTCCCCTTTGCAAATTGTAATTATGGAAAAGGTTGGCATTATCTGCAGCACATGGAGACATGAAAATTCTTCAACCTTTGAAGTAGGAGCTAGACAGTGAGTAGTTTCATCATTGTACAACTTAACAGTTGAAATGTATAATCCATTATCAACACTTTCACAGTACTGAGGATGATTACATTTGAGGGATACAGGTAGATGGATTTCCATATGAATGCCCTAAGTATCTCTTTGACAGTGTCTGAAGCTGTGGCTTAATAAAGGTCCCAGAAATAGAAAACAGTCAAAATGGGTGACACATGTTAGGTTCATTTGCTTAAAACAATTCTCATGATATCAGCAGCTTTGGAGGTTTTCAAAACTAATCTAGAACATACAGCCAATGAAGATTGACGCTTGATAAAAAGATGTATAACTGTTAAATTTCCCTCACCTAACAGAAGATATCTTCCTTGTTTTTTTTAAGGGATTTATTTCCTTGGAATCTGACACCTCAGAAGGTGATGGTGAATTTAAACCAAAAGAAGAATATCTCAACTCAAGAGTCAAGAGAATGCCAAGTAGGCTTTCTTTCCCTCTGATAGCCTTCTTCTGATGTTTATCTCCCCTAATTCAATACCTGAGACTCATATTCTCCGATTCTATTACCAGTATGCTCATTGTTCATAAAATACAGCTTGTCTAGATCAGAGATTGGCCAACTATGATTTGTGGGCCAACTCTAGCCCAAGGTCAGAGCAGCACTGTTGAATAGTCATGACAGAACTACATGGCCAGCAAATCCTGGATTATTGTGTGGATTTTTTAGTGGACATTTTCTGACCTCCAGTTAGTTGCCAACAATCACTTGATACATGCCAGAAGGATGTATCTGACTTGACTTGCCCACAGGTGTTATCTGTGCTCTTGGAAGCTTTAGAAAGCAGCTACTCTACTATTTTTTGGACTTAAAGATAAATCATTCTGTCAGCATTACTGACAAAGGGCTACAGTAACTCTTCCCCCAGTACTTGCCTTTCAGAGTCCAGTCTCCATTGTAGTGAATATTACAACTGGACAAGCCTGGTTTTTAGCACTTTTGCATTTCAGGGAGATACTGCTTAGAGAAGTTACTTTTTGTGTGGCCAGCCAATGTTTTCTTTCTTTGCCTTTATCCTTCTATAATCTGCCTGATAGAGAATGGCAATTGGGTGAGAGATGGCAGCTCTAGGACAGACAAGATGTCTCAAGCAAGGGTGTTTTATGTGTTACTTTATTTTTAAAGTTTTTAAAGATGTATTTATTTTTATCGGAAAAGCAGATTTACAGAGAAAAGGAGAGAGAGAAAAATCTTCCATCTGTTGGTTCACTCTCAAATGGCTGCAACAGTATTTCATGCTGACCTTTGAGCAGTTATGTGTGTGCTAAGCATATCCAAAGCCAGGAGCAGGAGCTTCCTCCAGGTCTCCCATCTGGGTACAGAATCCCAAGGTCTTGGGCCATCTTCCCACTGCCTTCCTACACCATAAGCAGGGAGCTGGATGGGAAGTAGAGCAACTGAGATACAAAACAGCTCCCATATGTGATCCTGGCACTTACAATGGGAAGATTAGTGAGCCATTGCACTGGGCTGTTAGTATTACATATAATGTTTATGAGCCGTAATGAGTTCTGTTGCTTGTAGTTCTTTGGCCATTTTCATTGAATGCTACAGTGAATATAGTAGGTACTTTTAAAAAATCATAGTTATGGGCCCAGTGTGGTTGCCTAGCAGCTAAAGTCCTCAGCTTGAATGCACTGGGATTCCATAAGAGTGCTGCTTCTAATCCTGGCAGCCCCACTTCCCATCCAGCTCCCTACCTGTGGCCTGGGAAAGCAGTGGAGGATGGCCCAAAGCCTTGGGACCCTGCATTTACATGGGAGACCCTTAGGAGACTCCTAGTTCCTGGCTTCAGATAGGCTTAGCTCTGGCTGTTGCGGTCATTTGGGGAGTGAATCATAGGACAGAAGATCTTTCTCTTTGTCTTTTTTCCTCCTGTATCTCCGACTTTGCAATAATCATAAGGAAATCTTTTTTGAAAGATCATAGTTGTGTACTGTTATGGTTTCCAAAGCCGATAAACATAATGATTGAATGAAGAGTCTTTTAGAGAGACATAATTTCTTTCCTTTCATACTTCCTTTCTCTCTTGCTATTGCTCTTGTTCTCTTTATTTTCTTTTTTCTTTCTTCTTTTTTTTTTTTAAGATTCACTTATTTTTATTGGAAAGGCTGGAGAATAGGAAAGACAGAAAGATCTCCCGTGCATTGGTTCAGTCCCCAAGTGACTGCAAAGGCCAGAGCTGAGCAGATTCGAAGCCAGCAGCCAAGAGCTTCTTCTGAGTCTCCCACATGGGTGCAGAGTCCCAAGTCTTTGGGCCTTCTTCCACTACCTTCCAAAGCCATAATCAGGGAGCTTGATGGGAATTGGAGCAACCAGGATACTAACCAGCTCCCATATGGGATCCTGACAGATGCAAGGCAAGGATTTAGCCATTAAACTATCATGTCGTGCCTTAAAATAAATTTTTAAAAAGAGGGAAATAATGAAGTTAGAGGAAGTAACATATAGATTCAAAAAAGTATTGCTCTGCATAGAAAAAGGCAAAAAACCCCAACATTTATAGATTTATTACTTTAGTTTTCATTATTATTAGTCATACAAATCTCCAACCCCTCAGAGACTCAATGTTTTCATTTGTGAAATTAAAATGATACTGCCAAATAACATTGTGAAGATTAATAATTAAGGCAACTAAAAGCTAATTAGTACTAGCACATCTTATCACTATTGCTCAGCCAAGTATATTGTCTTATAATTCCTTCTAATATGTCTATTAGGGGAGTCAAGTTCAAGCCATGTTGAAGATTCTGAAGACAAACAACTAACTGAGTTAGATGTGATAAATATAGCTAAATGTAGAGAAGAAACTCCACCACAGGACAAATGTATCCAACCAACCACTCTGAATAACCAAAATATTAAAAAAACTCAAACACAGAAGCACCAAAAGAAAAATTGTACAGCATGTCAAAATCGGCAGGTCTTTTGTGATGATGAGTTGTCAAGTGAAACCACGAGTACTTCATCTGATTCTCCAGCAAAGTCCAAATCAGAGCATATGTTTCTATTGGATGCCACAAAGGAAGGAAACGTAGGCCGCTTCCTTAATGTAAGTATGGGGGCTAAGGTTCACATCTCTCTGCAACCTTCTATTCTATTCTTCTTAACAAAACCATGAGAAAATAGGATTAACATGCTCAGAATGTATTATTAACATACACCTGAATATGAGTTCTGGGACCCCCTCCATGTGGATAAATGTGCCTCTTAATTTCTCATTTGACTCCTGGGTAATGTGGGGTTGTAACTATCTCAGGATGTTGTGAAAATCAAAATAATTTTAAGTGCTTAAAATAGTGCCTAATAAATAGTAGGCATTTGATTTACAAAATTGCAAGGGTGCAGGCCGTTGACACAATTGTTAAGCTGCTTCTTGGCATTCCGACAACCCATGATGAAGTGGTTCAATTCATAGCACCATTTCAGTCTCAGCTTCCTGCTAATGTGCACACTGGGAAGCAACAGGTGATGGTGGCTCAGGGCCTTGCCATCCACGTGGGAGACCTAGAGGAGTTCTGGGCTACTGGTTCCTAGACCTTGTCTGTGGTAGGCATTTGGGGAATATTTGGTATCTTTTTCTCATGTGTATATGTGTATGTATCCACATTAAATTTAAGCTTCAAAGACATCTATAAAGAATAATTTCTAAAAATAGGTGTTAAAACATTTTCAAAATCACCTGGAAAAAATTGTATAAAGAAAGGAAGTATTGAAATTAAATGGTTGGCCTGGTTCGATAGCGTAGCAGCTAAAATGCTCACCTTGAATATGCTGGGATTTCATATGGGTACCGGTTCTAATCATGGCAGCACCACTTCCCATCCAACTTCCTGCTTGTGGCCTGGGAAAGCAGTCGAGAACGGCCCAAAGCCTTGGGACCCTGCACCCGTGTGGGAGACTGGGAGGAGGCTCCTGGCTTTGGATTGGCTCAGCTCAAGCTGTTGCTGCTGCTTGAGGAGTGAACCATCAGATGGAAAATCTTGCTGTCTGTATATCTGACTTTGCAATAAAAATAAATAAATCTAAAAAAAATTAAACGGTGGCAGAAATTTTCAAGTATTATGAGTCCTGGTTTTTTTTTTAAGATTTATTTATTTTTATTGAAAGACAGATTTACAGAGAGGAGAGGAGACAAAGAGGAAGGTCTTCCGTCCGATGATTCACTCCCCAAGCAGCCACAACGGATGGAGCTGAGCCGATCTGAAGCCAGGATCCTAGAACCTCTTCTAGGTCTCCCACGCGGGTGCAGAAACCTAAGCCATTGTACCATCCTCAATTGCTTTCCCAGACCACAAGCAGGGAGCTGGATGGGAAGCAGGGCTGCCCAGATTAGAATTGTCACCCATATGGGATCCTGCCACATGCAAGGCGAGAACTTTAGCAACACAATGCTGTGTTTATTTAATTGAGGAATCAGCTGATTAAACATGTCTCTAGTTCACAGGGTCAATTTTTTATCATTTTGTGAAAACCAGAGAGTTGTGAACATTCTTCAGATTATACTTTTCTTGGAAAATTTTGTTTTAAGAGTCCTGCCTGGGCCCGGTGCGATGCTGTAGTAGTTAAGGTCCTCGCTTTGCACAAGCTGGGATCCCATATGGGCATCAGTTCTAATCCTGGCTGCTCCATTTCCTATCCAGCTCCCTGCTTGTAGCCTGGGGAAGCAGCAGAGGATGGCCCAAAGCCTTAGGACCCTGCACCCGCTTCGGAGGCCCGGAAGAGGCTCCGGGCTTCAGATTGGCACAGCTCCAGCCGTTGTGGCCTCTTGGGGAGTGAATCATTGGATAGAAGTTCTTCCTCTCTGTCTCTTCTCTCTGTATATCTGCCTTTCCAATAAAAATAAAATAAATCTAAAAAAAAAAGAGTCCTGCCTTTGAAAAGTGCTCTTCTCCTATGCATCCTGCCCTACTCTGTGTGCTATAGATAATCATTTTTGTTACTTTTCTTTTGTGTCTTTCTAATTCTATAGTCTGTAGATTTAAATAAAGATAAATATCTCTTATTTTTCCACTTTTTTAATATAAAGGTATATTTTATTAACTAGCATACATTAATAGTATATCCTAGAGATCTTTCCATATTAGTACATAAATGGCTCATTTTTGTGTATGCATGTATTTTTGTTTATAACTGCACAGAACCCATTGTATGGGTACACCAAAGTTTATTTAATCATACTTCTATAAACATGTTAAAGTAACAGAACTGACATAGATATTTTATATATTAAATAGAAAGCAAAACCAATGAGATGTGTTAGAAACAGAATGGTATTCTAATGCTTAAAGCAAAAGATATAAATTTTTATGCTATAGCTAACCTTTGTGTTCAACTTTTTTTTCACAGCATAGTTGCTGCCCAAATCTCTGGGTACAGAATGTTTTTGTGGAAACACATGACAGGAATTTTCCATTGGTAGCATTCTTCACCAACAGGTATGAAGCTGATTTAACTTAGATGATTTGATTCTGGGGCCTGGCGTGATTGCCTAGTGGCTAAATCCTCGCCTTGCATCCCTCCAGGATTCCATAAGGACACTGGTTTGTATCTTGGCTGCTGTACTTCCCATTTACTCCTGCAAGCTGTTGAAGCCATTTGGGGAGTGAACCAGGGGATGGAAGATCTTTCTCTCTGAAAATCTGCCTTTCCAACTAAAAAAGCAGAAATGATTTAATTCTGAAATTATGACCTTAAAAGTAAAAATAGGTATATATTTGACCTAATAGTTAAAATGTTGATTATAGTATGCACATCCCTCAGCAGTTTAACTCTCAGCTCTGGCTTCTGAGTTCAGCTTGCAGTTAGTGCAGATTCTGAGAAGTTGTAGTGGTGACTTAAATAACAGTTTCTACCAGCTACCCAGGAGACTTCCTGGCTCCTGAAGATGAGAGGTCCGTGTCTCTCAGCATCTCAGATAAATACATTTATACACACATATATACATATATGTTTATGAGGATATAACAATGAAGTATTTGCAAGGCCCAATACCCTAGAATATTTAGTTATCCTCAAATATTATATGCCAGTAAAACTGTGTACAATAAGAATTTCAGTTCATATTATTAAAAATCTGTGGCTGCAAAATACACTGCCTCGTGCATATTGACAGTTTCCTAGAATTTTGGTAGATTTGAAATAAAATGCAAATGACTATTCTTAGCCCTTTGTAGCCTATTGTCCAATGTGTAGGACAGTTAGATTTAAATTGAGTAATAAATACACCACTTACAGGAACTTTGAAATACATATTCTGTCAGTGAAATATTCACAGAATTAAAACCTTGAGACAGTGAGTTAATAAAAGATTATTCCTAACTATTGAGCATGGGGTGGAAAGAAAAGTTCATCTTTCTGATGATAGCTAATAATAGTAACATGAAAATTGATAAAATCAAATATATTTTATTTGCTTGTTTTTTTAAGATAAATGTGATTCCTTTTTAATTTCTACTTTCTAGGCATGTGAAAGCAAGAACAGAACTAACCTGGGATTATGGTTATGAAGCTGGAACTGTGCCTGAGAAGGAGATCATCTGCCAATGTGGAGTTAACAAGTGTAGAAAAAAAATATTGTAAAGGTGTAGCTAATATCTATTCATGAAATTGCCTAGTCAGGCTAACTGAAGCCAGCCAAAAGAACTCTTCGTACCAGTGGGATTCATTTAAACTAAAGTCCACCAACATGTATCCTCTCTGATAACTCTATTCAAAGGATTCATATTGTATTTCTAATTTTATTTGTATGACTTAGAACTGCCAGGAGCAAAATAAGGACCTTTTTATATGCATAGGGTATTTCTAGTTATTTCTGCTGTTGAAATTTACATGAGTAAAATGCAAGTGTATATTTTATGATACTGCTGTATAATCTTTAATTTATTTATAAATTATGTATTAAGAAAACAAAAGGCACAGTAGAATGCAGCTTTTTCTCATTGCTTTTGTGATTCTTATCTCTTAGTTCTTGCCCCAGAGTCAAATTTTTAACATCTTCACTTACAAATGTGATGTTAAATTTTTGACACACCCATTATCATTATTATTATCAGCTACAAAGTAGTCAGAGCCTGAGTAATGTGTAAGAACTCATTTTATCCATATATTCCCACGTAATTTAACATGTGTTGGGGAAGCCACTGCTGGCTCCCTTAAACACTGTTCAGTCTACTGTTCAGCAAAGTCATTTGAAATGCATTTTCTTTTCTACAATATCCAGTCTCTGCTCCTTCTATACAAATAGCAGAAGAGGGAATAGAAATCTAGAGGAAGTAGAATATTTTGTTCTAGATATAAGAAAAGAAAACTCAGAAGCTAATAAGACTTGGCTTCTTTAGGCCGGAAGGAATTGTGTTGGGCAAAATGTCACTAAAGAAATGGAAAATCACATGACAAATGCAAGCGTCCAAATTTGAAAAACACTCTTAATGTTTCTTGAGCATGATTTGTAAATAGTTTTTCTAGAGAAACAGGGAGTCATCACTTTGCCATAGGGTACCTAGTACCATAACCCACAGCATAAACAGGGTTAGAGAGGGAGGCGACATGCAAATGAGAAAATAAAAAGTGAGACAGACACAAGACAAAGAGTATGACAGTGAGGCAGTGAGAGGAAGGAGGTCTACTCAGAAGGCTTGGTTGCTTTAACCTTTGAGCTGCAAGGGGAGTCAAATTACAGGAATTGATGGAGTACACACTCTGATAGCTGCATCCCTTACTGATGTTAACCTGCCAGTACTTGCTGGTTAGGAAGCATCAGTATGACCCAAGTAGCACGCATGAGTGTCTCATGGATATGTTACAGCACACAATTCTTTGGCCTTGGACCATTGCCCAACTGCAGACCCTCAGTTGACCTTGGTCTTGACCTTTTGCCCACTGCAAATCTGCTTCCTGCAAAGTTTGACCTGGGTCTCCCGCACCAGCAGTCTGTGACTTCAAGATTCCAGAGTTTGCCCTGTTCTTCTGTAGCAAGTCACACTTAATGCTTGCTAATTGCTTGCAGCCCTGTAACCCTGATCAGCTAGTGGAAAAGGGGATTGAGAAGCTGCAGAAGTCAAAGTCTACCCTTACAAGTACTGAACATTTAACCGCAAATAAATTCCCCCTCAGAATGATTGGAATGATAGCTTGAATGAAGTTATCAAAAGTAATTCTAGTTTTTGTACAGTTACATATTTTTGTATTTAGACTTGAGTTAGTTTCAGGTTAGTTACCTTTCCAACAAAAATCTGTTCCAAATTTGGACATAATTTTTTAAAAATAGTAAATTAGGTGAAAACCTCAAGTTGTTTTAGAGAACAAAAACGAAATTGTAGCTCTACAAACAGCGTGTAGACAGATGATGATGCTTGAAAAGTCCATCTACTCCCAGGAACGATGAAGGACCATTAGGCAGTGTGCTACGGTAAAATGAAGAAACTTGGTTTGTGCAGAGGGCTTTGTGCTGTAACAGCCAGCATCTCCTTGCGATCTGCCTTCAGAGTCGCTAACATCCAGAAGCAGGAGGTATTCTCTCAGTTTCATCCTCTTAGATATTTCCCTGGAATTCTCTAACTGCTTCAGTCTGGACTGGTTCACAACCATCATTTTCCACAAGATCAGAGTCCCTTTGCCTCATACCACACTGTTTCCAGTTAAACTCAATTCATTCCCATGGTTTATTCTCATGAGTTGGGGAAGCATGTCCTCCAGTAGCATTTACAAAGGAAAACTGAAGTAAATGTTTTTGAGATTCTGCGTGGTTTAAAATCTTTGTTTTACCCTTATATTTGATTGCTATTTTGGCAGAGTACAGAATTATGTCTTTTGAAGCATATACATTTTTTCTTTGTCCCAACCTACTGTACCTGGCTGGTAAGGGCCTGTTTTTATCCTGGTGGGATCTTTTCATCTGGAAACTTTTTCCTTCAGGGAAATATTCTTGAACTATATTTCTCAGTGATTTTCTCTCCCCGGAATTCTTGTATCCAGACCTGCAAGATTGCCCTATCTTAATTCCCAGTCTTTTCCTGCTGTTTTTTTTTTTTTTCTAAGCCGCTTCCTCCTTGAATTCAGCTGTTGGCAGTTTATTCTAGTCCCACACGTGTAGTTCCTAATAGCTGTCTGAGCTTTCTTTTACTTACCAGCATTCTGTGTTGGGTCCAGGGTTGTGGTATATTAGCTCTTTCAAATATATGCGTATCTGTGCACACGTATTCACACCCATGTGTCTTGTTTGTTTTTGCTGCATCTTGTGTATCCTGCCATGTTTCTTGGTTGGTCCTAAATGCATGTGTTTTGCCTGTCTTTCACGTAACAGCCTGTCCTCTGCGAGGGCTCTTGGCTGTGTACCTGCATGAGTGTGGAGAAAAGCTCCTGGCCAGGCTTACCGTGGACTGCTCCAGCTACCTGGCCGAGGATTCTGCCCTTGCCAGCTTCCTGTGCTTTGTTTTGTTTTGATTTTGTTGTTGTTGTTTTGGTCAAGGAGTGCTCTTCCGCCCCTCTACCCAGAGGACAGAAGCTTGGGTGCTCTTTACCCCCTCGTGCAGCCACCCCCTCTTGCTTCCCAGCCAGTTCGTATTTGTCAAGAATATCCACGTGGCCCTTTTTAGTCTTAATATTGTCTCGCGTTTCTGCTATCCACAATCTTTCTGCCTCCATTCAGAATCTCCTCAAAGTGCAAGACCTCCACAGATTCTCAGCAAACGACCAATGATAATGTGAACTTTGTTTTAACTTTAGGTCTCTCTATATTTGTTACATGCACTGAAAACCTCACCTTGTATGGTGCTCTCCGTACCCCATGGGTGCTAAATAAAGTGCTACTGGCAACTGGATTTGGGGTCGGTTTAATTAGTCGCCAAAAGTGGGTGTAGTGAACCAATGGTGAGGACAAACACGTGGAGGAGCGCTGATTTCTCCAGCTGAGCCCTGGGCGGGGCCTGGGGGAAGCGTGGGGGTGGAGATCATTAGTTTACAGAAGCTCCTGGAAGACGCATCCAGCGAGGGCGCGCCTGAGGACGGCCTCGCGCGCTGCGCCGCCTTCCCGGCTGCGAACTTGCCCGACGCGGGGCGTTGCTGCCGTTTCCTACAAGACACCGCCCGACGGCGCTAGGCGTTTCCGGGAGCGCGGCCGTCGGGCGGCAACAGCATGGACCGGGCGCCTTCGCCATGGCTCGAGGAGGGGCCCACGCGCGGCGCGTTCCCCAACTCCACGAGTGAGTACGCAGCGGGGCTCCGGGGAGTGGGGAGGCCGCGGCCCGGGTCCTGAGAGGATGGCCCGCTCGGCTCGCGGCTGCCTGGGGTCTCCGAGCTGACCCGCCTCCGGGGTCCGGACCCAACGGGGCGAACCTCGACTCTGCATTGGCGCCCCCGCCCCCCGAGGGTCCCGAGCTGCCGTGCTGCGCCCGTGGCCGGTTCAAGGCGACGCGGGGGTGGGGGGGGGTGGGATCTGGGTTCCACTTTCGTCTTCCCCTCCCGGTGCGTGCGCCTGGCTGCTTACTGCTTTGAAGCGCTCTTCTGGTGTAAAGCTCTCCCACCTGCCCGAATTCCTGCCATCCTCAAAGCCCCAGGGAAGAGCTGCACGGCAAGCAGGGCAGCCCGCCGGCCCCGAAGTCTCCGAGGTTTCGGTTGGTCCAGCCCTCCTGCGCTTGAGCTGGGCTTTGGGTTTTGGGGTTGCTGTTCCCCCGCTTTTTTCTCTCTGTGGAGCTCGCACTCGTGGCAGGCCCAGACTGGGTCCTGGGTCAGCAAAGCTGGGTTAGGCCGACCCTCTCCGCCGTGAGAATCTGTCAGATATTTCTGTAGTGGTCAGAATCACACGGGCAGCGATAAAGGGCCTCCCAGCCCTGCTCGGTGCTCAGGGGGAACTTTCTGGTAAGAGAGGGTGTCTGCTGTTAGTTTCAGAGCGCTGAAGATGAGCCAGTTGAGAGGCAGAGTAGATGAGGGTCCACGTCGCTAGGTGGACCACAAACCAAGCGGTGCAGTACTTTTTACGATTACTGCATTGCAAGCGCCACAAAGTGAGAAATCAAGGGCGATGAGGATGCGTTCTGACATTTCCCTCCGATTTCTGTGTCCGCAATAATCTCAGATAAATCTCAAAGAAAACCGGTAGTTTGCCCAGCTATGGCCACAGAGTGGACTTCTCAGCTGCCTGTCCTCCCTGTTGGCCTGAGAGCCTCCTCAGGACCTCTGGCTCCTCCCACTGTGCTTGTGAAATCATGTCTCACCATCTTCATTATTCACCCAAATCCCCCGGGTTCCTGGTTTCTATTTCCCCATGTTCTGTGCAAGGCTAAAATTAGCTTTGTTTTTTTTTTAAAAAAAAAGGAAAAAATAGTGTGATTTATTACTGACAGAATAATCCCTTTAAAAATATTTTTATTGGAAAGGCAGATATACAAAAAGGAGGAGAGACAAAGAGGAAGATCTTCTGTCCAATGATTCACTCCCCAAGTGGTTGCAACAGCTGGAGCTGAGCCAATCTGAAGCCAGGAGCCAGGAGCTTGCTCTTCCGGGTCCCTCACGCGGGTACAGGGTCCCAAGGCTTTGGCCTGTTCTCCACGGCTTTCCCAGGCCACAAGCAGGGAGCTGGAAGGGACGCAGGGTGCTGGGATTAGAACCGGCGATCGTTGGGATCCTGGCGCATTCAAGGCGAGGACTTTAACTGCTAGTCTATCGTGCTGGGCCCAAATAATCCTTTTTAAAAATATTTAATTTTTATTGCAAAGTCAGTTATACAGAGAGGAGTACAGACAGAGGAAGAGCCTCTGTCCACTGATTCACTCCCCAAGTGACCACACCGGCCAGAGCTGTGTCAATCTGAAGCCAGGAGCCCAGAGCCTCTTCTGGGTCTCCCACATGGGTGCAGGGAGCTAGCTTGATGGGAAGCTGGCCGCTGGGATAAGAACCGGTGCCCATATGCGATCCCGGCGCATGCTAGGTGAGGACTTTAACAGCTAGGCTGTCGCGCTGGGCCCCAGAATAATCTCTTGACCTCACCTGAGTTCAGCCCATATCCCATCTGATTTCACTCATGCCCATCTTAATGCATGCCACCCGTCCTTCCCTAAGGGTCTTTTCTAGTTCTTGGGGAGGAATACTCCCCCTCACCTTGTCTGACTTGTGTTTCTCTCAGCTTAGGTACTTCTCTGTCTTGTCTGCCATTCCTGGCTTCTGTTATCTCCTCTTGCTTTGTTTCTGTCTGTGACACTTGTTACTACCTGGGGTGGGTGGGGGGCACCAGCATGGTTGTCCCCTGGAAGGTGAGCTCCACGGTTCTCTTCCGCTCACCCAAAACGGCTTGCTTGGTGGTTGTAAGACCTGGTAGAGCCTTGTTAAAGGTGATTAGGCTTTAACTAATAAAGACCTGGTGAGTCCTTACCACATACTTGCTGAGGAGCATGGCTGCTCTCCTGGAGTGTGCGGGAGGATGCTGGTGTACATTTTAGAGCACTGAAGTAAGCTGCAGAGTGAGGGGGTTGTACAGAGGAAGCAGCGGTAGGGCAGGAAGTTACCGCATCAGCTGGCTGACGCTGTGGGCATCTTCCCTGTTTATGCCAGAAAGTACACATGAGTTCCCATGAAGGTGTACACACACACACACACACACACACACACACACACACACACGTACGTTTTGGTACTTCCATTGTGACATCATTACTTGCCAGGTACAAAGAGTACAGAAACCAGTACCTCCAAATTCGATGAAACTGGGTCCAGATAATCAAAAGGCAGATGGAATTGTCACTGCTCCGCCCCTCGCTCTGGGCATTCCAACACCTTGTAAATCTCACCAGTGAGTCCTTGTGCACCTCTCCCACTCACCCACCTTATTAGGGCCCACGTGGCACTCAACATCACCATGACTTCCTCCACCAAGCAGCTTCAGAAGGGACTCTGCCCACTGCCTGGGCACAAGAAGCCTGCCCTCCGTGGGGCGGTCTGAGCCCTCCCTCGTCATGCACCTATCCTGTTGTCCCTTCTAAAATAAAACCTTTTCTGCCTCCCCAGTCTCTGTACTTCCTCAAACCTTAAAATCCTAAAATGTAACAGTTACTGGTAAGCAGGGAGGCCAGACTCAGATCTCCAGGGCACAGCTGCTGTAGCACTTCCCAGAAGGGGCCAGAAAGAGGACCCAAGATGCCACCGTAAGCCTGACAGCATCCCCTTGTCTCTCATTTATGCATCTTTCAGCATGTCTGCTTTGTTCTTTCTTTCCTTAATAATGGGATAGAAGATGGCTATCTTCAGAGCCCTTTTTTTTTTAAAGCTGTCTACTTTTTACATCTTTTTAAGAAACCAGCTTATTCCAAACTAAAATCTTCATTTCTGAATTCTTTAAGTTGGTGAGGGAGACAGCTCAAACCTCTGAAACTGTCAGCTGTGGTTAGGGAAATGGAATCACCTGGTATAGACAGGCCCAGTGGGGGTTACTTGCATATCAGTGTGGTACACAGACACCCTCAGGGGGTCCTCGTCCCACTTTCCCTTCTCTGCAGCATACACATCTTTATTTATATTTATTCATTCTTACTTTTACAGATTAATTTACTTATTTGAAAGGCAGAACACAAAGGGAGACAAAGAAATCTTATGTACGCTGATTCACTTCCCAGATGACAGCAGCCAGGGCTGGGCCAGGCTGCAGCCAGGAGTTAGGCACTCCATATGGTCAGTACTTGGGTAGCAGTGGCTAAAGTACCCAGGCTGTGCCCTGCTGCCCTCCACGGTGCAGAACTCAAACCAGCACTCCACTGCAGAATGCTGCTACTGTGAGTACTGACTTAACTGTGACACAACACCAGCTCTATATTCATTCTGAAGATGTTTTCCTAACATACTATGTCTCCTCTAAATCATTCTGACCATCCCAAATTCAGATGCACTGGTACTTGTACCAAAGTTTCCAGGAATGTCATCTGAAAACAAGTCATTGTCTGCCACGCTTCTTTTGTGGTGTTTATACAGCTCAGGTAAGCAATCACTAAGCTTAGTGATGAAAGTGACTTCTCTTACATGCGATGGAAGAGATAGTAAGCTGCAATAAAAATGATAAATAAATAAAAATCCAGTGCTGTAGCCTAGCAGCTACAGTCCTCACCTTGAACTTGCTGGGATCCCATTTTGGCTCCGGTTCTTATCCTGGCAGCCCTGCTTCCCATCCAGTTCCTTGCTTGTGATCTGGGAAGCAGTGGAAGATGGCCCAAAGCCTTGAGACCCTGTACTCATATGGGATACCTGGAAAAAGCTCCTAGCTTTGGATCAGCTCAGCTGCAGCTGTTTAGGCCACTTGGGGAGTGAACCAGCAGATGGAACATCTTCCTGTATCTCCTTTCTATAAATCCTTTCCAATCAAAATAAAATTTTTTGAAATAAATAATATATTCTAAAGCATCAGAAATGTTCAAGTGTGGCATTGGTGGGAAAAGTATGAAGAGAAGCCCAAATCTCTAATAATCCTGTGAAAAGGAGACTTTAAATCTGTGGATAACCATGAATGGATATGAGTTAGATCCCCAGTCGCTGCTTTACACTATTCTTATTGCTGCATTAATTAGCACTTTTAAAAACATTGTAATATTCTAGATAAGAAATGATTATTTCAGGATATCTCTTCACCCAAGGGAAGAAACCATAAATTAAAATAGCTATAGTTTTCTCGAATGAAATTTAAACATTCTGTAACACACAGAACATCAAAAGCTAACCATGTATAGGACTAAAGGGAACTTCCAAGCAAATGGTGATTCAGTGGAAGAGTGAGCTGACATCGGGGCCAGAGGAGGAATGTAAATGCTGCCTTGTGTTAAATCCGTTAGTGTAAATCCGGATCCACTTGTG